ACTCGAAACGAACGAAAAAAGACTGCCGAGGTATTTCGTCGGAAGTTCAGGCATGAATTACGTCCTTATGCTTTGATGTCTTGTAATTGGATATTATGACAAAGCCCCCTACAAAAAGCAGGCCAGTCGGGTGGAGCCCGCAGTAGAGAAAGTCTTTGATGGAAGCGAGAGAACACAGGCCTGTCGCGCATTGTCTGAGCGGGGCATTGTCATGACGAACAGCCCCGCACCACTTGCAGGCGAGGCGACGAGCCAAGCCGGCTGAGACGCCGCCGCTTCTTGCGGCTCGAATTCCTGACAGAGTGACGTCAACGGTGAGGTCACCCGACAAGTCACGTGGTCTGGCCGACTCTGCCAAGGTGTCGCCCACGATCCAGCCCCCCCCCCCCCCGCCCCAGCGGTATAGGTGACGTCAGCGTCCCGGTCCGCTGGTCGGAGGAAGTGCCTGCACTGGTGCCTGCAGGAGCAAAGAATGCTCGCTTGTCGTATACCCATGCTCTTTGTGATTGGCATGGGCTATTGCGGAGACGTGAATGGCGACTATTTTATGCCTTCTTTCAAATAGCAAGAAGTTATGAGCTGCATACCGATACCGTTTCATAATCTTTCATGAGTATCTGTTCCCCGCTACAGCCTGACAAACGACGTTGCATGTTTCAATAGAGTTAAATGGCACCCCTCAATTTATGTTAGAACTCCTTTCTACATGCAGGCATGTGGGATAGGACCAAAAATGTGGTCGACATTGACTGCAGAACCAGCTGCTTTCAAATTTGTATTCCAGAGCTTCGTTGACCTGTAAACGATACATCTGTTCGGTGCATTTTGTTGGGTCACCTTGAACTGCATAATTTCCGCACAAAAACATCATTAATTGACGTTACAATCCAGAGAAATCTCGGACAGATTTTTCAGGCGAGCGGTTTCCTGAACAGTGGAGAGCATATTTATCACACAGGTGTGACTCTAGTGACATTCGGCCGCCAAATCAATGCAAATACGAGCAGCGACAATGGTGGTCATCAAAGATTCCACATCCACCAAATCGTTACTATAAAGGATGTTCCATACGGGCCCCTAACAGTTCTGGGCACCGTACAGCTCAACCTGCTACAGGTGGTCGATTGTCAGTCCGATGTTGTCGACGGTGATGCGTTCATCTCAAATCCGAGACGGACTCCAGCTTTTAAACGTTCGTTGACTTGAACACTTAGATGCAGTTCTGGAGGTTACCCCATGCCATGATGGTTTGGCGCTTAAAGGGAGTGTTCCACATCTATATCGGATTTTGATGTGAACCAGCAATCACGAAGGCCTTTCGGTGCTATTCACAATCCTGCCTTTCTTAAGACTTCAGCCCCTCTAGTTTCTGAGCTACACGCCCGCGAAAATGGGAAAGGTATATCGGGGAGAGAACTTCAAAGTCACCTTGGCATTGATGACGTCATAAGAACGTCAATCAAATCCTGCCGTTTCATAAGCCATGCGGCTATCAAGGCCAAGAGAAATTTTATTACTGAGGCGTTCATATCTGGCGTTTGTGGGCGCGATTTTCAAATATAACGACAGTCAACTGGCCTCTAACCAATGTCGTGCAAGGTATGATGACGTAATCAAACCGGGGCACGTTTGGGGGGAATAGTTATTAAGCGGAGAAGTGTGCAGTCTTTCCCACTTATAAAGCATACAGTAGATACAACTGAGCTTGTTTCATAATATCTGAAGCTTGTTTCAATATATTCAGTTGTGAAACATTCATCGAAAGGGGCGCACCGGCTTCGAAACCATTTTGCACCCTCTCGAAGACGATTATCTATAACTGTCGACATTGATGCTGAGTCCAATGATAAAAGTGCACACAGTGAGCCGGTAAAAATGATTACAGTCAATGTCATCAAGCGCATCGTCTCTCCATCCAGCCAGACCCCGACGCACAGACAGCTGTGCGATCATCCGAGCCTTTGGAAGTGGCAAGTATGCATGTGAGCTGCCAAACCGCCAGCGGTCGTGGCAGACGTGGGACGACGGGCGTAATGCACCTTACTCGCACCATGTGCTTTGAATTCGGGATGATTTTACATTTGTGTCGACAGACACCGCGCACAAGAGACGTTAAACACTTTGACTTAACTTCGGTGAAGTCGACGTTGTTTCGTCAGTTGGTAAGTCCGAGTACGGATACATACCTGAGGTATTTTATGCGGGGTGAGATGGTCTGTTTAGTTATTCAGAATACTCACTGGATGAGCGCCGTCCTGTGCTTGAGAACTGAGTGCCACTGAGGTTGTCGAGTGGCAAGTTGAGGCATGGTGCAGCTAACCTGGAGTTCAAAAATGTTAGATAATGTGCTCATAATTTTAGGTTATTGAAACCAGAAGCGATTTTGGCATCTGTGAAGTGAGGATAGGAACCCCCAGTCCATAATCCCGAAGCACCGAGAGGTCAATGACGTCATTACCTCTACCAACTTCCTACACATGCCAAGGCATTTGTCAGGGCAATTGTAAACACGTCGACTCTGGGAACCCGTCCGGTCACAATCCCTTACCTAGCCTACAAGGTCATTTTGGGGACTCGTCCAGTCACCATCCTTTACCTACCCTGCACGGCCACTCTTGGAACCCGCTTGGTTACCATCCATTACCTAAACTGTCTTTCAAGCTTTGGCCATGTCGGTGGAGAAAGTCGTGCAAGCTCAGTTCCGCGTTCACATATAAGTTCATAGTGATCGAGTAAACGCGTGCTTCTGCGCCTTGGTTCACCTTTGATCAATAAAGAATGTGACGTGTTTGCGTTGGTCATACCGTTCAGTTTGCAGTTTTTCTGTGGTTACACCCCATTATAAGCGTGTCACAAAAATGCAGCTTCACGTTGGTTTGAAATGAACCAAACGGAAATATATGTGGGATGAGGTTCTCCAGCAGCAAACACTTTTGGAATCGACCAAATATAAAGAAGGTCTCACTTTTATTTTGACATTGGAGATGCAAATCAAACATGCCGGAATAATCGGCCTAGTCCTTCCCAACTCCCCTTACCCCTCAACACCGATCTTTGAAAGTAACACCCCTGGTTGGCGTGCTGTTGACATCTTTGAAAATGCTTTGCGCAATAAATTCGGCTAGAGCATTTACCAATTTACGATGTGGGTCCCACAGGTGCATTGGTCGGCATTATCTGCGTATAGTGCCAATATAACTCGTTCCTCGCAAACAGCGTGGACAATTCGAAATGACTTTCAAAAGCGGCACCCTTCCCGCAAGCAAGAACCTTAGACGTACACACAGCGCGTTCCATTGTTCTCTCACAACACACCGCTCGAGTGGGACCACAAAACATTCCATGGCTCCCCACCGTCTGGCGTTACTGTGGATGTGACACGTTCGCCCTGCGACACACACCCCCAGGCGCGGGCACTACACAACTATCGATCACACGGTCGCGAGGTCTTTGCACGTGCAAACAGAGACGTCATTACTCATAACTCGTCATCTTAAGTGTTTACAGTAAATCATCAGGTCAGGCTCTCTTTTGATCATGCAATGCCTCATAACGTGGGCATAGGGCGCTTACGATTGCTCACAAGAGCGCAAAGTAGTCTCAGTGGCCGGCGCGCCCAGAAAGCCTCCACACATCATCATCGATTGCCCACAATCAATGCGTGGCAATGGCAAGGGCGTTGCCGCGATGGCACGGCTGTAGCTAGTTCTAGCAACTCGCTGTTCACAAGCCGACTTCTCAGCATTATAAATGGATGAATTAACTGGAAGAAGCGATTCTTCGTGCTTTAAGAAACCCAACCATGTGTGCACTTACGCTGTTATAATGCGTCTTAGTTTGTCCGTAGTCACCATGTGATATATTCTTTCATTTGTCATCCGTAGAAATGACCCAACAATGCGGGACAGGTAAGTAAAGTTACATTACAAGTCACATTACATTACATACAAGTTACAATAAGTAAAGAGTACACGGCTTGATCTTAAGTAACAATATGTGACGTTTCAATCGGGGATGCAGGAGTCGCTGAGTGATTTGAGGTTACCTTTTCCGTGAGCTTTTCACATTCGCTGCATTGCGATTTCTACACCTTCAAGCCTTTCAACCTGATAGCTTGCTAACATTCTCAGCATTTGAAAGTCAATTGTCTACGCCTGCGTACAACCAACGGTTGTTCATGCCCCCCTCCCCGCCCCGCCCGCTCGGATCAGTCGCCTGATGTTCGTTGTCAGCGCTTCAGGGCGTGACCAGTCCACCATCGGCCGGGCGGGGTCTTGCTGCACCCTCCCCCCCCCCCCCCCCCCCTCCCTACACTGCACGCCCTTCCGCGGATGTCGTGCGGTCGACTCATAACACACAGCCGCCAGGGGTCGATGAATGCCAATAGAGCGCGGGAGACGCGGCCGGTGAGCGAGTCACCGGTGTTGTTATATCGAGAAAACACGCCACGCACGCCATGGGTGAGCTGGCTGGTGGTGCGGGTTGTCAGGTCCGGTCCACAAGATCACCGACGCTCCGAACGTCACATGAAACTTCACTCATTTCGAAGTGTCGATTTGTCGGTGTAAACTTCACGACGTTCGTCAATGGGGACTAGCGTGTTGCTCTCCTTTTCTGTCTTGTACATATGTTTACTGCGATGTAATTTCAGAGTCAAAGTCGACCCCTGCACACCACACATACCGCGCCCATCGATCACCAAAACCGTGCCAGGCTGCCGCACCCTTCGACAAGTTCTCTCAACCCAGGGCTGCAACCGTCAGCAGGACCAAGGCTGAAATTCAGCAGCAGGCTTAAATGCGAGCCCCGACCCGCGTTCATGCCCATGTTTCATTATGAGAAAAAATTACGTTCAGTATGGCTCTCTTTTGCCAGTACAATTGGCATATCAGCGCAACGGACCCTCCAAAGCATGTCCTGAGCTCGCCCCTGCCTGCCTCGCACGCCGACAGTCCCCGCCGCCCGACGGCCGGCCGGCCGCCTGTCGGCAGTCGCCCAACGAGTACCAGACGGCGGAGCAACGCTCAGCTCTCGCTCTTGTCCACCTCTAGAGTACTTGACTGGAATCGGGCAGGCCTACCGGGCGGTTCTCGCACCCTCTCCGTCCAGCGCGCGCTACGCAAGCAGCTACGATGGTGGTGAGTACTGGGAGACGGTCGGCTTCTGCTGACCGTTCAACACGCGCTTGTATTCGGCCGCGCATGTCGAACGAAAATATCACCGCGCCGACGTTTCGTCCAGTGAGGCGGCCGGTGTCGTGTTTCTGAGCGCAAACGCCGTCCTTCGCGCACTGGAATTTGATCGCTTTCACCGGTCCTTGATCTGCCTTCGAGCGTGAACCTGAGTTATGAGCTAGCAATCACTATTTATACCGCGACCAGCTCCCTGCGGAGCCTCATACGCTGGTCAGGGAGTGGCCCAGAGCCTGGAGCTGTGCCAGAATCGATCCCGCGACCTGGCGCCGCCCTGCCCCGTCCCCCTCCCCCCACTCCTTCACGGGCACCCAGAGTGTCGGGACGGCGGCGTCGAGCCGGGCTGTGGTTGTGTCGTCGGGAGATGTACCCCTGTCGAGGCTGCAGGGAGGGTGGCCGGCCTGCGCCGCTGTTGCTAGGTGGAGACGCCCGGCCGGCTGCCGCCGCGATCCGTGGAAACGGCGGCTGCGGGGCGCTGGCGCTGTCCCCGGGACTGAGTGCCAGGCGGATCCGGGCTAGGGGGACGGAGCGTATCACTTGGCGCGGGACGAGCCTCCATGTCGATGTCCAAAATGAATTGCATCTGTCATGACCTGGCAACAAAGTCTGCAGATTTGATTCCCGTTTATTCCGTCAGAGGTGAGAGCAAGCGACTCCCTTCATGATTTCCAAAGGCTTTGTCGATGCCGACGCCGTTAGCGGCAGTCGGTGCTGGATATCGACTAGGGACGGGGGACAGATGTTGTCCAGATGTGCCGATGCCGAATCGTGCGAGACCGTTAGCACAGCCAACTGCGCGGTGATAAACCTTCAGCTGTTAACCATCGTGCTTTTTCCGTCACTCCCATTGTCGTCATGCTTTGCATCGCTTCTGTCGACCGCCCCGCCCGCTGTGCCTGATTCCGCCCCTGCCGTCCCGCCCGCTGTGCCTGACTCCGCCCCTGCTCGCCGTGCCGGGACAGGTGGGCGTTCCAGCGCGCCGCGCCCATGGAACGTCGCGACCCGCCCGGCGGACGGGGCAGTGCTGCAGCCAGCAGTCTTATCATGCCTTGTATCCTGGGACACAAACCCACTCGCTTTGTAAACTTTTCTTCGTCGGGCGTAACAAATGGGCATATCAAACACTCCTTATACCTACAAATTAGATACGCATGGATGGATCGCAGAGATTCCGCGAGGGCTCTTGGTAGTGGGGCTAGGGGACAAACGTTAATATCCGACACCGTTCAAGTCGAGAGGTATTCAGTCGCTACTTTATACACATGTGTCCTGTAATCAGCCATTTCATTGCCCCATGAGCACAATAAACTGCATATATCAGCCATTAAGCGCCCTGAGCCAAAGGTCGATTCTGTAATACGCATAGGCCAGTTTGAATAATTCTTCTACAGAAAACGTATTGCAATATCATGGAAAACTGTGCGCGTTGAATTAATGGTTTATAATGTGTGATCCAACTGAACGTATGAATGTGGGTATTATAGGATATACAGAATGTGTTTGCGGCTACGCATAAGGAAAACCGATTTTCTAGAAGTTGTCCCCTGTGTTTTGTCCGTTTGCACTTATTTTACATTAATTAAGCCTCCGTTTAGGGAGCTGGTTTTGCCAGACAGGGACTTCTCCATACTTACAGACACGCCCACGGCTTCCAGCGGGTGAGTCAGTGTCGGGCGGCCGGCTCAGCCGACCAGGCGTGTCCAACTGTAATGACGTCACAGTCCGGTCGTGCCCGCCTGTGATGACGTCACATACCAGTTGTGTCCTATGTGATGACAACAGACCAGTCGTGTCCGCATGTGATGACGTCACAGACCAATATTGTCCGTATGTGATGACATCACAGACCAGTTGTATCTGTATGCGTTGACATCACAGACCAGTGGTGTCCGTATGTAATGACGTCACATTCCAGTCGTGTCCGTATGTGATGACGTCAGCTCACCGGGCCGCCGTCCGTCGGTGCTGACATCAGAGGCCAGTCCCGTGTCGGGTCGGGCTCCTGTTCGCTGTGCTGCTAGCAGGCGTGTGCGAGATGAACCAGACGAGCTGTGGCTCAGTAAATATGCACCAATTACACTGGGCTTGGGCATTATCAGGCGTATGTCCGTGGGTGCTCATCGGCTCCGGAGATGTCGTACGATGTTCACGGCAAACATTGGTGTCATTTCGCGCGCCACCAGTGCCAGTAATGAGAGGGTAAATCACACCCCCGTTATCTACACAGACGCGCCAGACAGGCGCTTGTTTTCAACAAGTCCCTCTCTCTCCCTCTCTCTCTCTCTCTCTCTCTCTCTCTCTCTCTCTCTCTCTCTCTCTCTCTCTCTCTCTCTCTCTCTCTCTCTCTCTCTCTCTCTCTCTCTCTCTCTCTCTCTCTCTCTCTCTCTCTCTCTCTTCCCATTGTTTCGCTCTCTCGCCCTCTCCCCTGCTTTCTCTGTTACACCGCGGGACCCCGCCGAGCCGGAGCGGCACGTCCTGAGGAGGAGCGCTCGGCGGGGACCGCTCCCGCACGTGACTTCCGGCGCGGTTACGGTGCCGCCTGCCGCCGCGGGCTCGTCCCTGCGTCGGGCGGGACACGTTGGCACGGCACGTGTCCACGTGGGCACGCGTCAGTGCGGTTTGAGCCGCCGTCGCCGTACCGCCGCGCGGGTTAGACAATCAAACAGTGTCGGTTTACCGTCTAGCGCCTTGTGTTTGTGTGCAAAGCCAGGGTCTGCTGCATGTTTTCTTGTAGGCATTTGCCGAACGAGCGTTGTTTGTTTTTTAGACGGTTTCTGAAAGATTAGACTACGCAGCAAAACCAAGTTGATCGTTCATTAACGCCTACCGTGTTTCGATACGCTTTTAATGAAAACTTGCACCAACACATCGATGAGTAAGTTTTACTGAGCTGAATGATGATTTACCAAATGAATCTACAAGCGTCTTTGCTTCTTTTAAATATTCCAGCTTTGCGGCGAATTTCTGCGTAGGAATGGCTCCGTTTGACGTTTTCCCTAACCGTATCACCAAATATGGTCACTGCTGTGAAACAATATCCGGCCATCCGAATGTGATATCACCATTGAGGCGGCCTCGGCTTACCTCAGCGGTGACTCAGCGCCTGGTTCTGAGCAATGCGCCGTGTGGGGCGTGATCCGCTTACCGCCCGGTCCTCAGCGGACCGCGGACCGCCGCCCGGAGGACTCGGCTGCTGCCCGGGGGGCAGAGATGCGAGTGGCGGTGAGTGAACCCGAAGTCACCGGCCTCCAGGGGTGCGCGATTCGCCGCCGCGTGGTAGTTCCAGGGGTGTCCAGCCCGACGGGGCGACTCTGGTCACGAATTCGTGTCAGGAAAGCCGCCGCTGTCTCGCGTACAGGTATGGTGGCGGTCGTTAAGCCGTTCCAGGGCCGCCCGGCCACAGTTTTGGTCACGGGCTCATTCCAGGGGTGCTCGGCCAGACGTGGCACTTTTGGCCACGTGGCTGGCATTCCAGGGGTGTTCGGCCCAGCGCCGCGGTAGTCTGGGAGCCTGTCAGGGGTGCGCGGCCTGCTGCACGCTCGGCGCCAGCCGCGAATCGATGCTCCGGTCGGCTGTGGCTGTCGGCTCTCGCGCCATGCTATCTGTCAATGCATCGACCCCGTGCTGACCTTCAGGGAGGTCCGGACCGTGCCGCCACGGCTGTCAGTCCCATCACATCACTGCTCTGTCAGACCGAGCAGACCGCCCGAAAGACATTGCGCACAAGACCTGGTCAGTGGCTCAGAGCAGAAAGGACGCCCTGCCGAGCAACACAGGCGCGAGCGCGGTCCAAGGAGCGCGAAATGAGGACTGAAGAGCGGCATGGTTGTTTGCACTCATTCAAGGATGTCAGAACGTAGCGTGTATTGCGGGTAGGTGCGGTCTTAAAACCACAGGAAGGTGCTGATCAGAGCTGATGCTGCTGATGCTGCTGATGCTGGCGCTGATGCTGATGCTGCTGATGCTGCTGATGCTGATGCTGATGTGGAGCCGGCTCTGCTCAGGTTCAGTCTGGTGGGAGGATCCTGCATTATCTCAGCTCTACCAGCTCACAAATTAGATAGGTTTAGGTCTCTAGAAGGGCAAAATAACGAGTGACGGGGAATTATCTTCAAAATGGATATTTTAGTTCTAAACTTCACACAAATGTGGAATGCTCCCCTAAAGTACATGCCAGTGGTCGTGTACAATCTTTTAACCAGTACCTCCGAGCATGTTGAGGTTCTGTTCTTCTTCGCATGAAAACTCATGATGAAGATGTCGCCGCAGCCAAAAGCGCCCGAGTGCCTGTTTTGGTTGCGATGGATACACTGTTCAGCACTGCTGCTCTCTCATAGCCTGCAGCGGAAGACAGCCATCGCGTCGTAAGGCTTCCCCAGCCGCCTGTGAACGTGACCTTTAAACCCTAGACCACGACCGACCACCGTGCCTTCGCTGCGCTGACCGGCCGCCAGCGTTCGACCCGGGTCTAAAAGCTGGAGGTGCGCGGATCGTTAAACCCGATCAGTGCGAACCCAATCTCTGATCGATGGGATCTCTTTGCACTTGGTAAAACAATAACTGACAAAAGTCAGTTGAAATATCGCGATTACAGGACTACAATTGCACAATGTTACCCATGTTTGATAGAGTAGAAGCCTAGACTCACAGAAACATAGAGCCAGGAACTCTGGCTTTAAGACTTCTGCAATTATAATTATGCACGCGAATTCCCGCACTCGAGCTTCCCCACTGGCAGCGGACACAGCACGACTTGGCGAGGAGCCGGTCCCACGGACGCGCCCTGACCGGTTTTGGGTGTTGGTCCCACAGACACGCCCTGGCTGGGTGCGGGGTGCCGGTCCCACAGACACGCCATGGCTGGGTGCGGGGTGCCGGTCCCACAGACACGCCCTGGCTGGGTGCGGGGTGCCGGTCCCACAGACACGCCATGGCTGGGTGCGGGGTGCCGGTCCCACAGACACGCCCTGGCTGGGTGCGGGGTGCCGGTCCCACAGACACGCCATGGCTGGGTGCGGGGTGCCGGTCCCACAGACACGCCATGGCTGGGTGCGGGGTGCCGGTCCCACAGACACGCCATGGCTAGGTGCGGGGTGCCGGTCCCACGTCCCGGTCACGCGACCGGCGCCGGCTGTATTGATTCACAGACCGTCTGCGCTAGCGGGGGGGTCACCCCCGCGCATCGAGCAGGCGCCGCTGCTGTAACGCTTTACGACCCGAGTTTTGCACGCCGCGGCTGGGGCGGTGCACCGCCGCGCCGAGGGGACTGGGGGCGGATTCATGGCGGCCAGGATTGCAGGCCCATGGGCGCCGCCAAGGCAACGGAAGGAGTGGTGCGCCGCCCCAGAGCCGTTATGCGTGCGTGCTTGGCTGTGCGCGCGAGGTAGCATAAAGGCACGCGTGACACCGCTGGTGACACCGCCTCGTGTCAACTGCGCTGTTTTTAAGCCATGCCTCGGTATGACGAAATGGAGCCCACGCCCACGTAACGAGGCATTCTTTTTCCTGTCCGCCATGTCACCAGCAGGTGTGAAGTTTCGCATAACAGGTTGAGCGAGCAAGGTAGAGATGGCTACACTCACCCGCAAAGCGATATTTTACGGATATTAACCTTTTTCTCTCTAAATATGGTCTGAGAGCCCCAACAGAACAGAAACTGCACCGCAACACACCAGCGTTTCTACGGAAAGAAGTCAAAAGAACACTTGTCCATCCAAATGTAGTTTTCGTGTCGCAAACCCCCCTCAGCACCCACCCTTCGCGCTGACTGAGCCGGCGCCGCCTGGAGTCCAAGGTCAACCGTCGGCCGGGCGTGCTGCCATCTCGATATGGCAGCCCGCCAGCGACATCTGGCAGCTCCACGGTCAAGGGCGCAGCTCGCTGTCGGACGGCGCGGCGTCTCTCGTCGCCCTCGCCTCGGGCGGCGTTGCTGGGCATTCTGGGGGAGAGTGCGAGGGACGTAACGGGAGCGGGAGACCGCAGACGTGACGGTTAGTGACAGGTGGCGGGGCGAGAGCCGTGTTCCCCGCCCTCTCCGTGAATGCTTGACAACGCTAAATATAGCCCAAGGTGACTGACACGTGCAAACAATGCACTTAAACAGGCTGGAATCCACGAACTTGTCATACTTTCTTTCGCTCCTGGTGCAGCTTTCCCCTTCATGCCATTCTTAAGACTACTCTTGTTATCTTGTCTTTTTATCTTGTGACTGTTGCTTGCAACCACATTCCAATGCGCATCTGTCACCTTTTAGACTACACGGCGACTCTGTCGCTCTGAACGCGCTTCCACAACCCTCACTTGGCGTAGTCGTTTGCCAGCGTTAAGTCCGTTTGATCAATCAGCCCAGAAGGTTGTCTGCACTCACCCAAGGCGCATGCAGCTTCATGGCGTCCTTATCCCGGCGCCGAATTCGACAGAGGACCTCCAGTTGACCGCCGCCGCCGTCCTCATCGACACAAACGGCAACTCGTTGCATCCAACGCCCCAGCTGGAGGCACTGTGGATCGACTTGGTGCATGGGTGAAGGGCACGGCGGGTGAGGAGCACGACGAGAGAGCTTTGAATCACACAAAGACACGTACAACGGCAGTGTTGAGACTGACCTAGGATCGTAGTAGGTGGCAGTTTTAACATTGGCCTTGATTTGCATTTGCTGTCCTGCCAGAGGCGTATGTCAGAGTGTGGCCTTAACCGAATTCACATTTATTCCACAACCTTAACAGCCGCTGCAGGCGCTGCCGGCTGCCATGAGAACTTTTCAGCTGGTCACACCCTCGTGTCTCTAAGTCGACAAAGGCCGCTCCCGCAAACGGCAACGCTTTCGTTGCGCGACTGTGCCGTGCCCTATGTGCTGCATGACACCGGCAAGGGATGCCACGCATCCCGTCCTTAACCCTTTCCCCTCCCCCACGTGGTGTGTCTGTATGCACGTCTGTTCGGTTGTCCATGATCAGCGAGGTTTTTACTCAGCGTGTGGTGTCGCCCTGGTGTGGACGGGAGGAGGGGCATCGGGGGGGGGGGGGGGGGGGGCGGGGGGAGAGGGCGGCGGGCCTGCCTGTGTTGCCACCCCGCTTCGCCAACTTCGTCGCAGACAGATGGGCATCACTTTGGGAGAGCCGGGGGTTACCGTCATCGATGTTCGGTTTTCGCAACAAAAATTCGCGTTCCAAGCTCATCCGCAATGTTCTCACGACAGCGGCTGGCCGCCACACGTGAGAACACAGCAGCTGCCGGGTATGTCCGCTTCAATAATCGGATGCTTGTCTCAGCACCGACTGCGGCTGATCGTGGAAAGAGAGTGGTTTACTTCGCCCAAGGGCGCTTGATTTTCTCTCCCGTGGCTGGTCATTATGCCAGGTCAAACAAGTAAAGCTACGTTTTCAGGCCTGCTTTGTTCTGGCTCGAGCGGGCAACAGGGACGGGACGACTGCAGCAGTGCACTCGCCCGGTTGCGGGAGCCTGTGCTATTTATGGCCTAACGCCAACTGTCAGCTGACTTAGGCTGTGACGTCACAGGGTCGTCGGCAACATGGAGACGACACGGGTTGGTGAACATTTCTGACAGTGTATCCGATATGCTGTAAAATGCAGGCGGCTTAATGTCAAAGTGCCGGGATTTCCGAACGTCAACGACAGGAACATTTCAATAGTGTATAGCCTTAGAGACGACTATTTTCCCTTCATGCCTCACATCATCACGTCCGCGTGCCATTGCGATGATTCCTGACGTCTGCTTTGGTGGGTGTAGAAGGGGCCCGTCAGATACTTCGTAGTTTGGCCTTTGCAATGCAAATGCTTGACGCTTTTTGGTGGCGATGGACGCAGGGACGATCCAGAAAACAGAGTAGGCAGAGGCGTTTTTGATGACATTATTTCACTACTTCGTCCAATATCAAGGGAAGCGCACGGCTCGATTTATTTCGTTTCCTTTCCACCCGATTCACCCTTCTCTCCACGCTTCAACATATATGAGTGTTGCACTGTTCTTTTGTATAATAGTATTCTGGGTGAAATACATCAGTCACTATACGGGTGCGGCGCTGTACTTTTGCATAAGGATACCCTGGGTGAAATACACTGGCCGCGCTGTCTCCAACATGCAGTTTCCCGCAGTGACACAGTCTTTCGGCGCTTTATCCTAGCTCTTTTGGAAGTTTCCCCTGCGCAGGCAGCTTAAAATGCTCCATGCCGTTGTGTCCCTACTGCACAGAGCACAATCGGGCAACGGAGATGACCTTCATCTGTGCACTTACGCGTTTCACTCGTTTGCAGCACTTTCCAGTTGGCATCACGTGGAACACGGCGGTGTTGGGTCTGAATATCCGGCGCTCACGGCGCACTCGACAGTGTATAATCTATGCTATTTTTATTAAGAGGTGGTCTGATGATAATCGGTGCTCTTTATCAGTCTTTCTTCGTGCTTTTGTACGCGCCCCGATCTCGGGTTGTGTATGTGTCTGTCTCATGGAATATGCCTGGTCAATGATGATGTTCCGGGCCGTCGGAGCGGTCATCCATTACCTGCGGAGTCTTTTCAGCACCAGTGGGGAAAGGCCTTCATGTGCTGGCTTTGGGTTGCTGCTTGATGACCTATGGATACATCCCATTGCGTAACTTATGGTCGTACTCCAGACTGACAATATCTCACGATGCTTGAGCACTCCCCGTATCGTAGGACAGTGCTAAACTGGTTATAATCCCCGAGACTGATACCGTTTATGTCTATGTTTCAGTACTACCCGACCGTGGTCCCGCACGAGGGCTTCAACCCGGAGGAGGATGCCCACGCCCTCAAGTGAGAACCGTGTTTCGCGCCTGGAGCAAATCTTCCGGAGGCCCTGTCAATGCTAAGAAGAGCCCTTTGGCTCATTTGATTCCTTCACCGCTGGCACCGTGTTCACCCGGATGCTTGTCAGCACGCCTCGGCATTTGACGCATGGAATTTCACGTGACACGGCCAATACTATGTCTGTGGATCTCCCTTGGTGGCTGAGTCAGTTTCGGCTGTTAAGAGTCAGTCTAATTGCCATCTGCAAAGTGGGCGGGGCCTAATGTCCACTACAGAACATCCGTCCATGTCGCGACCGTTTAAAAACGATAGTAGCGTACCTCTGGTCCTCTTCATCGGGTGAAATGCTGCATCCCGAACCACAAGTTTAATGCACAAGTATACTCAACCTCTGCATGCTGTTGTAAACTTAGGCAGGCGGTAGACAAAAAACTTTAATGCGTAATGCTCATGCTCTGCAGCTACTGCTCGCGTGTGCCGACTGTCGCAGATATGAGATGAGAATGATGACGATGATGATGATGATGCTGATGATGATGGTGGTGATGGTGGTGATGTAATGCCATGTGATGTCATATGTCATGTGATGGCATGTAATGTATCGTAATCTGGTCTCCAGTGCTGTGATGTGCTGTACCGCAAGGCGCTAAATGTCTGTTAATTAGCAATATGGAATGCTCTGGTTTAGAACGCGCTCTCATTTGTCAAGATGGCTCGCTATTTCGCATACACCACTCCTTCTTACGATATGGCTCGTTTATACGATATGACAATCTGCCTGGAACCGTTTCAATGCAACCTTTCCCAACATATTTAAATGGGGATCAGTGTCGCCGTCATTGAGTGAAATTCTTGCGCTTTTTGACTCATTGTCCTTTGGCTTATTGTCCTTTGACTTTTTTAGTTTTGACTTTTTGTCCTGTAGCCAGTTAGCTGACGCCGTATTTCCATGCTACCAACAGGAAAGCCATGAAGGGCATGGGCGCTGATGAGGGCCCCATCGTCGCCATCCTATCCAGGCGATGCATCAAACAGCGCGTCCAGATCGCCGAGTTCTACAAGCGCGAGTTTGGCCGGGTAGGTGCTGAAACTTGAAAGGCTTCGTGGGGTAGAGTATGAGACCTGAAACAATCGGCAGTCAGTTGGTGAAACCTGATCGGGGGTGGGTGAGGTGACCCGAAACGTTTGATAGCGTAAGATATGTTTTTTAGCGTGAAATAGCGTCAGAAATAGCATAAGAGAGCGTAAGAGATGTTTTAAAGTTTTTGTTTTTACAATTCCGTCATGGGAGGTGATGTCATGTTTTGGATGAAAGTTTTTTGTTAGGTAGCGTGAAGCCTGAAGCGAAAAACATTTCGCCGGCGTTAAGTAATGGAACAATTGGCAGAACGTTATGCCATTAATGGTACCATTTATGGCCTTGGTGGAGGATGGCGACATGTTCAATCAAGTACACAGAGTTAGAGTGAGCACGGATCTGGGGCGTCTGGGGCGTCTGTGAAATGCGCTCGGCCTTGAGGGCGATGTCTGAGCTGCACAAATGACACCTAACTCTGCAGCGGATTTTGTGAACAACGTCTTCCGGCCGAATCGTACTGTGTTGTCACCGTCTGCAACTGAAGACAGTCCCCGACCACAGGCTGACCTTAAGTCCCGGTTTCTGCAGCGCCATGTCCGGCGGGCGACGCATTCCGGCCGGTGTCGCCCCAAGGCAAACACTTGAGGCTCGTGTCACTTTGCCTTCGGGGTGGCTGGACACCTGCCAGTCCTGCACCTGCTGGCCGTGCCGGGCACGTGACGTGACCTGATCCGCCCCCAGGACCTCGCCGAGGACCTGAAAAAGGACCTGGGTGGTGACCTGGAGACCGTGATGATGGCGCTCACCTACTCGTATTTCGAGTACCTGGCGCGCGAGCTCCAGGGCGCCTTCAAGGGCATGAGCACCAAGGAGAAGGTGGTGCTGGACATCATCCTCACCCGTAACAACGCTGAGCTCCACCTGCTGCAGGACACCTACTCCAGGAGTACGTGACCAAGTTCTGGACAGGTTATGTTATTTGCAGGTCACTGAAAATGATATGTTTCGTCACAGCACGCTGACAGTCCGAGAGGAGCGATGATAGCGATTTCCCATCTGACTGCTTCTCCAGTTTGCTTCATTGCATCTTCCTCGCCTGTGGATGCAGAAGTCTGTTCAAATGATCGTAGAACATCTGGCCTCCCGCGCGTCCACAGACCGTGCGAGCATGTACGAGCAGAGGACACGTCTGTGCGAGATGTATGACATCTGATGCCTTGTCCATTCGCAGAGTGCCACAGCGCGCTGGAGGAGAGTGTGCGGAAGGGAATGAAGGGCGACGTGGAGAGGCTGCTCGTCTCCATCCTGAGTGGAAGCCGGGACGAGACGGATAAGGTGGACGTCAAGAAAGCCGCCGCGCAGGCGCAGGACCTCTACAAGGCCGGTACGTCCGGGCTCCGGACCCGCAGAGAGCTTTGCCACCTGGCGTTGTGCAAGCTAAAGCGGGGGCGTACGGGAGCTTTGGACGATATGGGTTGTAGCAACGAACGGGGAGTGGTCTGGAGTTCAACGTGGAGGTCGAAAAAAGGTCTTTTGTTGACACCGATGAGCCCTTGACAGTTTTGTCTAGTGACAGCTTCCCATGCATCTATTAGACATCCGAGCTTACAACTATTACGTGGGAAATGAGTTGCCACGTGCACGCCAAAGGCGTATTTAATTGGGCGTTTTGTTTTCGCCAATTCGAACCTGCTTATTGAACCTCGCACGCCCAACGTTCCCCGTCAGAATGCGCCCGTCCTGACGTAATGATTGCTGATGTTATCAGGCGAGAAAAAGCTGGGCACGAACGAGGCTGTGTTCAGGGACATCTTCGCCAGCGAGAGCCTGCCGCAGCTGCTTGCCATCGAGAGAGAATATGAGACCATCTCGAAAAGGTGAGTTGCTCGCTCTTTCCAAACGCAAGCAATGCGATTGTGCCTCTAAGCTGTGACTTTTATCGTGGATACCGTGATCCCTTGGTGAAGGAAATGCCAGCGCGGACATGTTCACCCTATCTTTTTCGTTGTTTTTTAAGTTTGATCCGAAGCCTTAGTATGGATGGATTTCTGGGATCAGCGCTCGCGCTAAGCAGCGCTTGTTGTGTGAGCCCTGACCTCCACCATCCGATCGCGCAATTCCCGGCAACGGCAGAATTACGTGGCGAAAGCTTAACGCACCGCAATGCTCGGCACGGTCCGCCATGCCCTCTGACGTCAACTGAAGCTGACCTTTAGCGCGCCCACTGACACCGGCCGCAGGCCATACCTGTCGAGGGCAAATAGCGAGCTCCCTAAGGCGACTCGAACCCACCCTGCCACGCGTGGGTGGATCGGAAGGCAGGCGCTCTAACCAACTGAGCCGCCGGAACGGATAAATCGGTTCGGTTTGGCTGGATAAAACCTCTTTCTGCCAGCAATGACAATTTCAGGACTTTGGGACGAAGGTGGGCAGGGTGTCGTGGATAAACAACTACATTCATGTGATTGTCCTCCACTAGGAACTTGTCAGCACAGGGTCTCTTCTTCGGGGTTTGTGCAGATGTTGGCACGGGCCGTCCTCCAAAAGATTCACTTGAAGGAAGTGTCTCACCGTTGGACATGTTTAGAAAAAGCATGCTCTGGTGAAACCTCATATCCATTTGCGTCGAATAATAACGCTGGGTTGTGGCACTGCAGCACCATCATGACATAATAAGGAGACTCATTTGAATTGCTTTCGCGTCTAAGTCACGCCGTCAATGGTTTATAACATCACCACGCGTCTTCCTTTCTTGGTAACCCAGGAGTGTATGCATAGTCCGCGACAACTGCAGTTGACGCGACCGCCGTCGTCACGACAACCGTCGTCCCGACAACTGCAGTCGTCATGGTGATGGCAGAATCTGCCGAGGGACGTTGTCAGCTGTTATGGTTAGAGGCATCACTTGTGGGCTGCTTTAATTCGCACGTTATTTCTCCTAACGACAATAGGAGCGCTTACTGAGCTTGCTTTCCTTCGCAGGACCCTGCAGGAGGCTATCAAGAGCGAGCTGAGTGGCGGTTTCCAGAAGGCTCTTCTCATTATCCGTGAGTACTGGAGCATCGTCCGGAGAATGGTAACTGAGTTGGACAAACAGCGCCTCGTCGGCTGGCCACGAAATGTTCCTGAGGCCTCCGGGCCATTGCTAAGTCAATATTGTTGTATTGTTGTCGACTGTCTCGAGAACCAAAAGCTGGTTTGGGGACACGATGACCAGTTGGTCAACAATCACGTTTTAACTAGTTGTGGACTACGTATTGGCATTTTCGCATTCCATTCATCTCTGGTCTTTTGATTACGCGATGGCCCAGCGCTATGAGCTGCTGGTGTTGGGCTCTAGATGGATGTAGTTGTTCTTGCCTGACACTGCTGGACCACGGTTATGTGCGCGCGCGAATTACTGGCATTTTCGATGAATATTTTAACGGCCAGAATTGATGTTATGGCGACCACAAACATCGGCCATGTCGTGATTGATGTCGGTGGTGGCCATGCCTCGCCGCCGTTCACTGCCCGTTTCTCCGCAGTGGCTGTGGCCAAGGACAAGATCGAGTACTACGCGGACAGTTTGTACGACAGCATGCAGGGCGTTGGCACCGACGACAAGACCCTCATCCGCATCGTAGTCTCGCGCAGCGAGCTCGACCTGGGAGCCATCAAGGCGAAATATCTCGACAAGTACGGCAAGAAGCTGGATCACTCAATCGAGGTAAACACAGGGAATAGGCTCATGTGGTTTGTGTGTGGCGAGAAAGACCTCACTGCCGTCCACGATTTTGGATGCCACTCCCATCCATTCGACGCGTATGATCGGTCGCAGGTGCTTCTGACTCCAGAGACTTACCCTTGGTCCTTCCAATTACGCAGACGATTGACATCGTAAATGCCTAGGACCAATCAGCATGGATACGGCATTTGCCTAGGACCAATCAGCATGGATACGGCATTTGCCTAGGACCAATCAGCATGGATACGGCATTTGCCTAGGACCAATCAGCATGGATACGGCATTTGCCTAGGACCAATCAGCATGGATACGGCATTCGCCTAGAACCAATCAACATGGACACGGCATTCGCATGGCTGCATTGTTGTCGTCATCGTTCAGTCACAAAGGTCTGCACTTTTATGAAATCTGATAATTCTTTGCTGGATTCCTGTACCGATCAGTGCCTAAGAACATCTATTCACAACATGGAACAAAAAAAACAAAAAAACAGAGCAAGCCAACGTTTCCCCCTGAAATCCAGTGCTGACCCGGGGCCAGACACTTGGTACCGGCCGAAAAACCACACAGTTTGACTGGTGATGGAGGTGGAGCTGACAGGTCCCCGATGCATCCAATGCAGGCAAAGTTTTTTTTCTCGCATCGGCAGTCATCTCGTTACCATCCATTCACCGTCCTACCACCGGTGGTGCTGGTTCAGAGTTCGCACTGCAGTAACCGAAATCTTGTAATTCTTATCGGGAGAAAGAGGACGTGGTGGGGAAATTTAGCGTGCGGTGGTTTGCTAATGTCTCAACTGACATTGTGGTGCACACAGCTGTTGGGCGATGCTTGAAAACAGGGAGGCGTGACGATCGGGACAATGCTAGGCAGCAAGGAGCTATTTGCCTTTGGCATAGAGATTGCCTCTTCTTCGGCCGCTTTGCAGGAGGGCACACGTCATTGGCCACTAGTGTTATGCGTGGACGCGATTGGTGTGATATGTTCTCGCTTACTCTTTAGGGCTCATAACGTGGCTGGCCATTTGGCAGCACTATGTGTCCGCATTGCCGCCATGCCAACCAGACACTTTGGCCCTTTTTGCTGCTCTTTGTTAACCACAGATGTGATCATAGCTTGGCAAAGATTGGAGATAGGGAGTAGTTAATATGAAGACTGACAACGCTTTCACGATGATTACCACGCCCTGGCATTTACACATTCACCTTCTTGCCGTCAGAGAGAAACTTCGGGTCCGTACAAGAATGCCCTGCTGGCCCTGGTCCGCGGCTGAGCACCAGTGACGTCACACGTCCACCGAGTCTCCTGCCTGTTCCGGTCCGGCTGCTATCGCGTGCTATTCCGGTGCCCTGGTGTGCCTGTTTGTCTGCGGACGGTGTAGGATCAATCTGGCCCGGCCCATCTGTCCCTCTGGCTGGCTGTGGATAACTGCTTGTCGCGAACGCGTGCTTGCTTTGTTCGGAACTTGAAATGCGAGGACCATGTATGAGGTTGACAAATGATCTGACGGCGATGTTTCAAATTCTACCACAGCAGCACGGCAGCGGACGGCGTTGCGGTCTTGAATTTTGCGACTCGTCTGCACGTTGGGTACAATACTACTGCCAGGCCAGAGTACCACGAATTATCTGCGTTTCGTAGTTTGATGCTTGAACACCGTGAAAAATGCACTGCAAGCTACCTGGTACATCAGTGGGAATTGTTTGCTTAATACATGTGTGGAGACGACTTTGTTATGTGTTTTGCTCGAAGCACAATATTTGAAGAGCATAGAATGCTGAAGCTTCTCGAACATGCTACTAGAGGACATCTGATTGCACACCGGTTAAGATATGCCGACCGGTACCCACACTCGTGGAGATTTTCTTGGTTTTTAGGTACTTTCGGCGCGTTTGCTTTATAAACATTTTTGTTTTATATAGCGCGGTATTGGGATTTGTTATCCATTTCGCTTCCCATTCAACCATGCATACCTGGATGTAGCAGTCAACTTAGTAAAGCGCAGATGCCTAGGAATTAATACACTGGGCTTATCCGGGTGGCTTGTGTGGTTTGATCTGTGAGCTGTAATTATGACTAGTGGCGCACCCTGTGGACTTAGTTAAGCCCCCCCCCCCCCGCGTCAGGTTCGAGCGCGGTTACAGCACGACAGTACTGAAGAGAGTTCCGGAATCTGGCAATCAGGAAGTCGTTTTTTATTTTAATCGTGTGGGCGATATTTTGGGTAGGAACACGTAGGGCCCAACGGTCGTAACATAGAAAACTTCAGATGGGCCGAATGAATGTGTGTGGTAAACAGCTAATTCAATTGTTTAAGGCATCAGCCCAAAACCAGCATTCATAGCACATTGTTACACTAGGTACTCTACCTATCAGCGTGTGTGGGGTCTGTTGGCAGCGATAAAAAGGTGCCTTTTCCATCGCCGACGAAATTTTCGACCGTCTGAATCGTCACCCTCAACCAGATCTGTCAGACGCCGTTGCAATATAGTTGTAAATGCGATAAACCACAAAAGCAAAGTCAAATGAAATGAAGTACGGCATGGCCATGAAATATTTAGTTACAGGAGTTCATTTGCACTAAAGTATCATTCGCTGGCCATCAAACATGGTGCCCAGCGTCATGATGGTGATCATGGTGATGCTTGAGACGAAGCCGTTTTAATTATCAGGCAAAGACATGCTTGGCATAACCAGCCTAGAGGCGTCTTGTTTCCTATGCAGTTCGGGCTGGCATAGGAAACAACATGCTGGCAACATGATCCCAATTAAATGGTGTGAAACCCATGCAATATTGGTATCTGCATATGCCAACGGCAACGTCACGTTGAACACTGGTGGAGAAAATCTGCTCCAAAAAAGGTACTAACATGAGAAAAGCTCTGTCCGTGGGCTGCTAGGTCCGCGAAATGCCAAACGTAAACATCACATACGGGTGCGCGGTGGATGGCTGCCAGGGCCTTATAATAACAGCGCAACAACGTAGTGACAGCGTAGTCGGCAAAAGCTCTTGAAGTCAACTTGAAGATCAGAAGGCAATGGTGCTGAGCGAGATGAGTAAATTGCACAATCTCAAACTTCAAGCATCACGTGTTCGACTCTGGTCACTTTACCAACACGTTATTCTCTCAAACTAAGCGCTTGGAGCTTGACATAAAGGCGTTCTTGCCTATCACGGTCAATTGTGGTGAGAAACGATGGGAAGAATAGAAAGAAAATGGCACGTAGTGACTCCTAAATGACTCACCAAAAACAAACCTGCACACACTACATGGGTATCGTTTGACAAAATTGGGCGGTGGAGGTAAGCTGAAAGAGATAAGAAATAACCCCGATCACCGCCACACTAGGACAACATGTAGGTTTCTCCACGGATTAAGCCCGCTCCCTTCTCGAAATTCGGGGATGGTGGTGGGGAGTTAAATCTTATGCGCAAGACATTTGCGTTTTTTTCGGAGTACGTCTAGCACGCGACATAAGACGTCACAACATTCGTGATGCCCTCGATGCAGGGAGGGCGACAAGGGCGTGCCAGTTAATGGGGAACTGAGCGATTAAAAATTACGAGACACCTCAAAAGTACGACACCAAACGGGCTCTCCGCGGATTTCCCACTTTCTGCGCAAAATGGGGGGGGGGGGGGGGCTGGAGTCCAAACTTTGGGGAGAGGCCCTACTACTGAATAAACAAAACTACACCCCTGCAGCCTGATCTCAGGTTGCAGTGGTGTAGATTGTTATTCCATGCGCACTCATTCAAGTGAAGATGGCCGATGACTTGAACGGGAGAACGCAAGTGATTAATAATCCTCGCCCTGAATCGCTCTTTTCCGCAAAGCGGACTGATAATGCGGAGCGATGCGACAGCCCCGTTCCATCTGCCGTTTCAAAACCATGAAAAATCAAGTTTAACGGACAACACCAGTAGATTGGTCTTAAGTAGATTGGATTTCATGATTGGTACAACCATTTTCTGACGTCAAGGCAATATTTGATTCCATTATGCCAAAAGTTCAATGTTTCCGAGCATCGAACTTGTTCAGCTTTACATGTTCCCATTTACTTGACCATTCCTGTCGCGACATGAAACGAACAAGCATGTTCCCTGTGCAGGTGTGCATGATGTGTAGTTTTGTGTATGTTTTAGCACATATTTATGACGCATGGCTCCGTTAATGCACCAAGTGTAGGCCCACCGTGCGCTGCCCGCGGAATCGTCGATTACCAGCCGCCGCCCGCGCTGGCTGCAGACAGCCGCGGAGTGTGCCACATTCAAGGGGAAAACGGGGGTGTTGTCTGTGGAGCGATGACGACACTAGCCAGTGCTGGGTGGAAAGAGGAGGCAGGGGGGAGGGGGGGGGGGAAGAGCCAGTAGATATCTCTTCTCGATTTATTTTGACGAATTTCCTTTTGTCCATCCTCATTATATGCCGTGCTTTACTGTGCCACCCCCTTGCTTTCTCTCCTGTCCGTCATGACATTTCCATTCTCGTCCTGACCCACCTTGTGTGCTGCTCCACCCCAGGGTACCGACAGCGTGGAAGCTAGCATGTCTGCGCTAACCACTGCACGCCTAGGAGATCAGAACTACCGGGTTCGATTCCCACGGTGCCCGCCTCCCCGCCAGGGTGAGAGGCAGGCGACATCATACAGTCCCAGCATCTGAGTGCGTCGCTTGGTCCGAAAGACGACTGCTGTTCCACCCTGTCATCTTCTACCCCGTGCTATAATTTTCTCCTCTATCCTGTTCTTTCTTGTTCTCTCACCCTGCCCTGGGCGCCAAGCTGTCTTGTCCTGTACTGCTACCGCTTATCCTACATCTCCTCTAGATCTCAGGCTCACACCTCTACACCTGGATTGCTCCAGCGATTTCACAGTCGTGATCACGCTCACGCCCCAAAAAAGCAAAAGACATTCCGTAGCACGTTATCTTTTTTGGCTTCCTGAATCGTTATTTCCTGTTCCGCTTCGCTAACATGCTGACAGCACCTATTTCTTTACACATGCCACTCATGTATTGAATGCGCATTTATTATGCTTGCAAGTTTGTGTTTAGACCAGTAGCTGCTTGGTAGCTAGGTAAGCAAATCTATCTAATTTGGTTGCTTTGCAGCATATTTTGCCATCAGTGTCACTTTTATGTGTACCGGAATACATATACAATTTTGTGTTTACATCAGTGGCTTCTTGGGAGCAGAATAAGGACGTTTCTGTAAGTTGGTAGCTTTGCAGCACATTTTAACAGGAGTGGTATTTTGACATCAACCCGAACAAATACGAAGCCAGTACGGCGGCCAATCCCGTTAGTTAGTGTAGCGACAGGCCAAACTAAGCCGACACAGCGGGCAGTCCTAGCGGCATCTGGACCATTGTGAACCTTAAAACAGCTATCCGTAGGTAGCCGTGGAACGGATCCCGCGCGCAAAATGCGCCCACATTTTTAGGAAGTCCGAAACAACGCCCAAAGCCGTGACAACGGTGGTGTGTAACTTCAGGCTGCTCAGACCGCTCCTTTTAGTCATCAGCCATGTGAACGGGGTGCGGTACCGCCTGAACAGTACCTGGGCCGTATGTCACGCATGCCCCGGCCCGGTGACCCCGCCCCTTTTTTTGCCTCGCCTCTTCCTCGTGAGAAGGGACTGCTGTGGAAATAAACGTCATTCAGATTCTCTCAAGACCAAAAAATTCCTTGCGCTATCCATAACCAACACTCATTTGTCAATCCTGATGGTCTCCTCTAATTTGCCCTTCCTGCAAGCGTCCCTGTCGCCGTCCATCTGCGTTTCCGCGACGAGCGCGTCTCCTTATACCGTTCTAAAAAATTTGTCTCCAATCCATTGAATCAGTCATTAGATGTCACTCATGTCAGCCAGCTGTCAAAATTATCAATCGTGCCCGATCCATTTGCCTTCCCGGTCCCGCTTCCGGTTCGTTTAATAAAATGCCTTCAACGAGCCTTTCTGTGTAATTTCCCCCGACAGCCCGCTCGTGGTTGCTCATTTTGTTACATCTTGGGCTTGCCACGACGAGCGTGTCTGTTGATTTCACAGCGGAATTCTCAGCTGGGAACCATCCCGTTCTTTTAGATGCGCCTACCGTTAGTCTTACTCCGCGTAATGAATCCCCAGCCCAGAGCACAACTGTTTTGCATTCGACTGACCGCCCCAATGCTTTTGTTTCATCTACCCAGTTGATTATGCGTTCTTCCATCATTTATTCATTTATTTTTTGGCATACTTGCTGCTATTTTCATATTTTCTATTTTGATTACGCTGATCAAGAGCTGATTTCAAAATCATCCGCCATTAAAAACCTTCGATGACAAAAACAGGCTATACTTCCAACCGATACACATGCTTCGCTATCTGTATTGACTCAGATATTTTGTTCTAAACATCCTGATCGTGGTTGCTTCATGATTGCCACCAACAGCATGTCTTCATGTGTGTTATCTGATCATAGCAAAAACTGATTACCTTTCGGCGTTCAGAGCGTACTTCGTAGATGTAAACGGTACCGCAACATGTATCAAAAAAGGAGACAATAAAGCATGAAATATAAAAACACTGTACAACACTGTAAGTCCGCGTTAAGCATCTATGTGTCTATGTGTGAGGGCGTGCTAGTGATTACATGACCCAAACAAGCAATGGGTATACCGTGATGAAAACCCAAGATGATCGATGCGTTCTATCTGTGGTACGCACGTGCTTGTTTCTCTTTTGAAGAAGTTCCGTTTGGTTTATCATGATTTGTATAACCTCAGATGTCTTCCATGTGCTGGCCCTGGAGTTATCACTCAATACCAAGAACTTCTATTAACCAGATCGGCGAACAATCCACATTAATGGTCGCTGGACTACCAGACTATAAGCTCCGCGTGCTCGGCACTGGCCAGGCCATGCAGCGGAGGTGTCTGGTGGTCCAGGCTGACACGGTCCGTGTTACACGAGAGTCGACGTCGGTACTGGCAGCAGCTGCGGTACCTGGCTAACTCCGGCACTGCCGAGGACGCTGGGTCGCCTCTTCCGCATCCGGCACCTCTGCTCTGTCGCCAGCGAATCCGACGTCCTAGGGCTCTCGCCCGCGCACAGTCGGTACTGGCAGCAGCTGCGGTGCCTGGCTAACCCCGGCACTGCCGAGGACGCTGAGTCGCCTGTTCCGCATGCGGCATCTCTGCTCTGTCGCCAGCGAATCCGACGTCCTAGGGCTCTCGCCCACGCACAGCCGCCACTGCAACATCAGCCAGCAAACAGCCACCGTTCGCCACCTCCGGCTGATGACAACCGGTCTCCAACGAACACCGACAGCCGGCAGAGACAGTCGAACACATCGACCTGTTCCTGTTTCCGTCCGATGTGGTTGGACAGCACCACCTATCTTGCCTCCCTCACCGCGCGGAACCGCGACAAATCAGCTGCAAGTGCACGACAGACCACCTCCTCGTGACCTGTCCATCTTCCACTGCTACGCCGCGCCACCAACCGATCCACAGACGGTTTTTCATCATGCCTTCTCCATCTGACTTCAACGGTCCGAGGATCGCAAGATCATCACTACGGCGCAGCCTGACGTTGTCACGACTGCCGCGCACGGATGTCCCGCTCTGGGGCGGGACGGGACGTGGGTGTCATCAATCGTGTCCGCTGCTCGCCTCGGGAGACCGGTGGGCTGTTGCGTCTGGTGGACCTATGCGACTCCATCGCTGTGTGTGCGTCATGTCAAGCTAACCACTCCACGCGATGCGTCCGCTAGGGCCGCGTGCCGATGTTAATATCCGTCACGTTCGCCGAGTGTCGTGATTATTTGAACCTTGATTTTCAGTGGACTTCCCCCCCCCCCCTGCTCTGTGGGGGTAGTTGTGGTGTATAGCTCCAGGTCGCTCAGACCACTCCGTTTGGGGTATCAGCCGGGTGAGCGGGGTGCGGTTCCGCCCGAATGGTACCTCGGCCGCACCTCGTACCTCGTACCTCGGCACCCCGGTACACTGGCCCCTTTTTCTTGCCTCATCTCTTCCTCATGAGACGGGGACCGCTGTGGAACTTAACGTCATCCCGACTCCCTCAACCGGCCTTTCTAACCACACATCCGGTTCCGATCCTCCGCAACGACGCAATCCGCGACATATCTATTTATAGCGCAGGCCCGCGGGAAAGCGGACTGTCAAGGTCGCTGCGTCGGCCCGAGCTGGCTTGCGGTCGATGTGCGACGGACTGCGGGATGCTGTGGAACGCGTGAACGCGTCTGTGCGACCGGGCAGACGACGTGCAGGTGAGGACTGCCGAACTGCGGTCTGAGAGGATTGCAGAATGGCGCAGTGGGAGGAGAGAATGGCACAACTCAAAATCCATACCAAAAACCTTGTTCAATCGTGTCACAGGAGCGCGACATTTCTTGTAAGACGCATAGCAACAGTGCATATTTTCGATGAGTTTAATTTCAATGTGTTTTAATGTGTTTAAATATGTTTGCGTTGCTAGTGTGACTGGTGTTGCGGTGCTAGTGTGGCTAGTGTTACGTTGCTGGTGCAGCTAGTGTTGCGTTGCTAGTGGGGCTGGTGTTACGCCTGGATCGATCACTTGGCACGCCCTCAGGCGGGGGCCCAGTTTGACCGCCGAATACTTTTTCGAGCGACTTTTGAGCGCCTTATCGTAGCCGCGCCAAATGTCATACAGCTGTAGGCAACTGGATGGCCGATCTCGGTATAAAACTATGTTATACGTGTACCATGTAATGTGACTGACCTATAGCAGGTCAAAGTCAGGTCATGGCTATCATCAAAGGCAATTCCTGAGAATCCCAGTAATTTACATTGATTGGATGACCATTCACCCTGATTTGGCACCTGAGTGCTAGACGAAACCATACATCTTTCAAATGGTTTCATGTACAATTAGACGATTGAATTTACAGTTCTGACCAATTCCATTGACTTTGGGTCGAGTGTAAAGGTGATAACAAGTTCAAAGCCAAGCTGCTTTGTTGTTATTGAAGAATTAAGTAAGCGGGCTAGTTTTTGATGCTCACATTTTAAGTTTGTTGATCACACGGACAGCAACAGACATCTAGGTAGACTCCATGAAGGTCAAAGGAGGTCACTGACCTAAAATGACTGAGGCCAAATATTTTTAGAAATATACCGCTGAGCGTTATCATTGACACCACTTTTGATAAAGGAAACGAAAATAATGTTGCAGGCTATTTTTAAGGAAGATCAAATAAGATCACTGACCCGAAATGACTAAAAGTGACCCTGTTTGCTTAGAAGAGGTTTCCAGGCTCCAGGTGGTTGCACGAAGAGATCTAATGTTGATTCGGACACCGATCTAGAATTTGACCATTTTTGACCGAAAGGCTATGACCCAGGGATCTCAAAATTCGGCTAAGTGAAACCGCATACAAGCACTACCCTGTGAATTTGGGTATCAAACCGTCTTATCCTTTGGGATCACAGGGGGTCAGGGTTAAAGTGCCCGCCACCCACCCGCGCGTGTCGTATTCAATTCGTCATTAGCTCCCCGGCACGTGCCTTCTGTTGAGTCCTCTCATACACATAAATGCATGCAGACATTTGATAAGAGTGTGGGGCGCAGGCTGGCGTGCAAATCCGGTCAACCCCCCCCCCCCCCTCCCGCCCTCCTCCCGTTGAACGCGCCCCTGTTTGCGGTGTCGGACGACGTGCGGCTGGACACCTCCACTTACTGAAGAAAGCGACGTTCAAGACAGGCCAGTCCTGCCAAACGGCTGGACACCTCCATTTACTGACGGGATATATGTTTAAGACAGGCCAGTCCTGTCGAGCGGCTGGACATCTTCACTACTGACAAGGGCGGTGTTCAAGACGGGCCAGTCCTGTCGAGCGGCTGGACAGCTTCACTTACTGACAAGGGCGATGTTCAAGACGGGCCAGTCCTGTCGAGCGGCTGGACATCTCCACTACTGACAAGGGCGGTGTTCAAGACGGGCCAGTCCTGTCGAGCGGCTGGACATCTCCACTACTGACAAGAGCGATGTTCAAGACGGGCCAGTCCTGTCGAGCGGCTGGACATCTCCACTACTGACAAGGGCGGTGTTCAAGACGGGCCAGTCCTGTCGAGCGGCTGGACATCTCCACTACTGACAAGAGCGATGTTCAAGACGGGCCAGTCCTGTCGAGCGGCTGGACATCTCCACTACTGACAAGAGCGATGTTCAAGACGGGCCAGTCCTGTCGAGCGGCTGTACAGCTTCACTACTGACAAGGGCGGTGTTCAAGACGGGCCAGTCCTGTCGAGCGACTGGACATCTCCACTACTGACAAGGGCGGTGTTCAAGACGGGCCAGTCCTGTCGAGCGGCTGGACATCTCCACTACTGACAAGGGCGATGTTCAAGACGGGCCAGTCCTGTCGAGCGGCTGGACATCTCCACTACTGACAAGGGCGGTGTTCAAGACGGGCCAGTCCTGTCGAGCGGCTGGACATCTCCACTACTGACAAGGGCGGTGTTCAAGACGGGCCAGTCCTGTCGAGCGGCTGGACATCTCCACTACTGACAAGGGCGGTGTTCAAGACGGGCCAGTCCTGTCGAGCGGCTGGACATCTCCACTACTGACAAGGGCGGTGTTCAAGACGGGCCAGTCCTGTCGAGCGGCTGGACATCTCCACTACTGACAAGGGCGGTGTTCAAGACGGGCCAGTCATGTCGAGCGACTGGACATCTCCACTACTGACAAGGGCGGTGTTCAAGACGGGCCAGTCCTGTCGAGCGGCTGTACAGCTTCACTACTGACAAGGGCGGTGTTCAAGACGGGCCAGTCCTGTCGAGCGACTGGACATCTCCACTACTGACAAGGGCGGTGTTCAAGACGGGCCAGTCCTGTCGAGCGGCTGGACATCTCCACTACTGACAAGGGCGATGTTCAAGACGGGCCAGTCCTGTCGAGCGGCTGGACATCTCCACTACTGACAAGGGCGGTGTTCAAGACGGGCCAGTCCTGTCGAGCGGCTGGACATCTCCACTACTGACAAGGGCGGTGTTCAAGACGGGCCAGTCCTGTCGAGCGGCTGGACATCTCCACTACTGACAAGGGCGGTGTTCAAGACGGGCCAGTCCTGTCGAGCGACTGGACATCTCCACTACTGACAAGGGCGGTGTTCAAGACGGGCCAGTCCTGTCGAGCGGCTGGACATCTCCACTACTGACAAGGGCGGTGTTCAAGACGGGCCAGTCCTGTCGAGCGGCTGGACATCTCCACTACTGACAAGGGCGGTGTTCAAGACGGGCCAGTCCTGTCGAGCGACTGGACATCTCCACTACTGACAAGGGCGGTGTTCAAGACGGGCCAGTCCTGTCGAGCGGACACGTGTTTCCGGAGTGTGCGTAACTGTGCGCGCGATATAGCGCGGGCCAGGCGCTCAGTCTGACATGACGTCCCAAAACTGAACAAAAAAGTGCACGGAAAAAATATACATACCTCGTGATGCCCTATCTATGTAATGAGATAATGAAAGTGTGGACTCATGGATGCAATGGTTTTCTAAAGTTAGTGGTGTTCGGCTTAGTTGGTTGACAAACCTTGCGCGTGACACTTAATGCGCTTTTGATAGTAATTCGTGACATTTTCTGGAATTTGCGCTGATAAGGCCAGTTCGCCCGTTAAGCACCTATTAGCCGCCTACAGCTGCATAATCCATCAGTCATAACGATGGTGAGGCTGTCTCGCCCCATGCATATGGGGAGGTCTTCTCGTGTACGTTAGCATGTACACTGGCCGAGTAGTTGCTGGTGTGCCTTCACTGTACTCCTCTTAAGCGGCTTATCGTGAAACGGCGAATTAACGTTTGGTATTTAGAGGTTTTCTTAGATCACGCTCCCTTCTTGTACTTTTTACCTTTTGTAGACCAAATGAGTACTATTTTATCAGTCTTACCAGTTTTCTTGAAGTCCTGAATAGCTCAGAATTTCTATTTTAAGTAGCTTACCCTGCGGGAGAAATCTCATTTGACTCATTAGCACTATGAGAGTGAGACATTTCTTTTGCATTACTTTTCCAGCGCTTGTGCTCTGTAGTGTTTGCGACACAATACTTTGTCGAATGTTTGCAAACTTTTACAAAAGATTGAAACACTCTGTTTAGACAAAAAGACATGCAAACATGAAGCTATTATCTCGCAAATTCAAGGAAACGTTATGCTATGACTTTTATTTCTCCTGTTTGGTGTTCACCACAGGAGCTCATTTTGAGGCACACTTTGGGGAAAGGGAGTATAACATGATTCATGTGACGTACCGGCTCAAACTTTGACCAATGCGCCGCTCGGTAACAGGCCCTTGCCCGCTGGACCAATCACAAACCTTCTTTTATTACAACCAGTCGAAGCACCGCGGCGGATGACGTGACGACGGCATTCGCAGGTGCAAGAGAGAGGTGAAGTACTTTTACAAAACGTTGACACGTAGTTTGGTTTCCAAAATAAATAAATTTGCATCCTTTTTATGCTTTGACGGTGTTGCAGTGGCAGTGGAGCTCTTGACCATGTGCCTGTCCATGTCCTTGTCCTCGGACTCTGCAGCCGGCTGCCAACAGTTGCCTGACAGCAGACGCAGTCTGCTGACCCAGACCCAGGTGTGAGATGTGCGACAAGCATGTCCCATTGATGTCTCACAAGCCCAGAACATAACGTCTCGCCACGTCGATGGTTCCGAATGATCTCATGACCCGCGGCGACCGCTGACTGACCTTTCTCCATGTCAGGTGCGTCATGTCGATGGCCGAGGTGAGGTCGCTCTGGCTTCGACACGCCAACAAGGCCGTGACTTCTCCCGTGGTAGCTCAGTTGGCAGGTGGGTGTTCCAGCCAGCCCACTGGTAGATGACTGTCGGCAAAGGCTCATAGAAGTGGGCGTATTGCGCTGGATCTACATATTGGTCGTACAGACACTTGAGCTCAGAACGCAGGGCCAGTCTTAACACCCTCGGTGGGAATAGCAATGTAGATGATAAACCATCTGTATGCACTTGGGTACCGATACAGGTAAACATCGATATCACAATAACGGCCAGGTATAAATAACATCAGATAGTGCCAGCCAGCTGATGCCGGAAAGAGAACCATATTAGGCGTGTCATCACCGCGGCCTTGCGGTATATCTTGGCGACGCCGTTTCTGTTGCTGCGGTGCGGAGTGATGTTCTACTGATCCCGCGCGCTGTGCAACTGCTTCTTTTTCAAAGGCCCCTTGATGGCCACCTGCATGAATGCTCTGAAAACATCCGTGAACCTTCACACAGGTCTCGACGTGTCCACTACCAACGAATTACCATTCTAAACCACGCGTGATCTTCTTAGCTGTCCCAGCCTGCACGCGCTCCCTAGTTGACCTTGCGTGTCCGCCTGACCCTGAGACCTCTCGTTGACCGGGCGCCTCCTCCTGACCCCTGAGTCGTCCCGTTGACCCGGCATGACCTCAGGTCAGCTGCCTGCCTGGCTGCACGGCAGCCTGTATCGGAATGGTTCGGGCATCAAGGAGGTCGGCCCCGACCGCTACAACCACCTCTTCGACGGTCTGGCCTGCGTGCACAAGTTCCACATCGACGGACCTGCGGGCAGGGTCACATACCAGGTCAGCGGCCACCGACAGTACAGGAGCCTTGCTCTACCGCCGGGCCGGACTTGATGAACTACTCACCGTAGCAAAATACCTTATTTTCGTCGTGCATGTTTGCGTTACAGCGGAAGCATCGGACTGGCATCTGTCGAGATACCAAACGATAAGTTGCCGTCCAGGTTTCCATTGCCGATCAACTCGCCTTCTCAATTTATATGCATATTAGCGTGCCTTCTCTCACGTTCAAGCAAAGAAATGAGGCAATTCGCCTTCTCCCAATCAATGACAGACTGCTAGCCGTCAGCACTTGCGACGTTACCTCTTTGAAGTTGATGTGTCTTTCCTATCGATGCTGGTTATTTTGCCTGCGCAGGAATGCGACATCAAACATGTAAACAACTGGCAAACTTTCATCAACCAGGGACGTTTTTTGTGAGCATTGGTTGCGATAATTATTTACGGAGTGCAATTCACAGTGAAGAACAGTTTTATCTTGCTTTCATATTTAGTGCTTATTAGGCTTGATTCCTCTCGTACTGTGCTGAAAATAACAGCAACCTCTTATGCTTTTGCAGTTTAGGTCCCGGGGACTTCATGGTGTTAGAGCTATTACCACGATGTTTTAAGAAATTTACGTGCCCTGCTGTTCACCCAACTGTCTGTATAAACTGATGGGTCGAATGAGTGATGCCAGCTGTTGTCCTGCCACATGATGTAAATTCCTACTAACAGACGGAATTCTAACACGACTCTAAGACGAGTTAAGAGTAGAGTTGCCCATTAGAAATGAAAACAAAGCATTTTCGTTCATGTCTACGTTTTGGCGAGTCGCCAATTGCCACACGTGATAAGTGACTGACTCTCGAGGTCTTAGCGTGGGCGACCTCAAATTTATCGATACTCAGGCTGGTGCCATCAGGTAACTGGTAAGTCAATGTTGGAAGACTGGTATACAAATATATACCAAAATTTCACATCCAATCGTGTATGCTTGAAAGCACATAGCGTTTTGCCAGAAAAATGCCGGAAATAATGCACAGCAGTTAGCTGTTTCAACAAGAGCAGATAAACCGGCGTATAGTAACCCAGTCAAAGCTGTAAAAAGGAACAGACATGAAAGGGCACGGCCGACATGCAGACCAAGACGTATTTAGTGTCGTCCCACGTATTTGACGTCCTCTGACGTCCTTTGGCGTCCAGGGCGTCGTCCGTCCTTTGACGTCCTCCCACGTGCAAGACGTATTAAGTGTCGTCCCACGTCCCACATTTTATAGGTTACGGGTGGTGCAATTTCTGAACACGTTCATCATCAGCTCCCACCTTCTCACATGTGCAGTTCCGCACATAACTCTGCACCCACTGGCCACCGCAGAATCGGTTCCTCGACAGTGACCACTACCGGGCCAACATGGCGGCCAACAGGATCGAGGCCTCGGAGTTCGGCACCTTGGGACGTCAGGACCTCTGCCGAAGTCTGTTTGGCCGGTGAGCAGCGAACCAAAAACAGGTGGTCACTTTGGCCAGAGGCCCGTTTCAGGCCTGCGGAATTTTACGTGAAGGGAGACCCAAGTTAAAGGTGGGCACTTTCGCGCGGTATCGTGTCCGTCATTGCTTAGCTCCCCGCAAGCCATTGCTCCTGTTTCGTCAGATGTGTAGGAATCGCTGACGTGAGCTTAGAGAACCTGGCTGATTAGCAGCGTAGTCGTCTGGTTGACGTTGCTAGCTATCAGCTCAAGCATTTACACCGACATCGAGAACCCGATGTAATTATGCCTCCGCTTGAGTAATGAAAACGTGTCAACTCCTCCGGATTGCGCGTAAATGCGTATTACCCTGAGTGCAGAAGCATTTTCGACTATTTCATATCGCTCAGTACCGCTTTTAAGGAGACAGGTGCTGTCTGCACCACCGCTCGCCCTTCCCTCCAGCGAATGCAGGGCTGCTCATCATGCCTCTTATATTACCACCGACATTGTTGCCACACGCGCATGTTCGGTATGCCACCTAGAGTCACTGACTTCCGTTTTCACCCCTCCCTTGGCCCTCGCCTCTCCGCTTCCCGCACGGCGTCGATCCCCAGGCTGATGTCCATCTACCAGGACATGCGAGGCCCTGACCGTAGTATGTCAGACAACTGCGCCGTAAACGTCGGCTATTTCGGCTCCCACCTGTACGCCATGACCGAGACCAACCGCATCTGGAAGCTCAACGATGACGACCTGGCCGCCGAAAAGCAGGTGACGGTCGTTGTGGGGAGTGCTCCGACGTCCGCGGAGGGCTGGGGCTTAGGGCTTAGACGAGATCGCGGAGGGCTGGGGCTTAGACGAGATCGCTAGCGGAGGGCTGGGGCTTAGACGAGATCGCTACCGGCTCCCGCATGTGTCTGCAAGCAGGTATTATTCTACCGCTCCTATTAGGCTGACGTACGCAGCAGACGTTATTGACATGTGTGACCCAGGCACCAACTGGACGCCAGCCTCTGACAAAACACATCGAAAAGTACTTGGCGGTTATTCTCAAGGATGTTGGTCCGTCTGAAATTTGCTCTCGATCAAAACTGCATGTCGTGCAGCATGCTTTCATAGCTTATATGTTAACCTTTTGTGGCTTAACGATTTCTTGTTCTGCTGCAGCAATACAGCAAAATGTCTTTTGACGTGTTAGGTGAGAGGCATCGCCGCGTCGTCCCTTTACTTTCGTGGTAGTTATGCTCGATAGTGTTTCAGTCAGTAGCACTACGGTCAACGGTAATGTACAAGGGCTGGAACATTTCAGGTGTGATGTTTGTTGTTCTGATAAAATAGTCCTTAGAATGACGGCTCTCGTTTCGTTCTAGAAAGAGTAAAGGCTGCCTTAATACATACAATGCCTTTAATCGTAATGCACTGTTATAACCAGGATAGATCATGATACTTCCTTTAATTTCTACCGCGGGGCCGAAGAGAAGCCTGCATGAGCCACTTTAAGCCACGCCGTCGTCTCCTGTGACGGCGTGGCTTAAGTGCTTGCGCCCTCAACAGGTCGACCTCAGCAAGGTTGTCTCCGTGGATATGGCCACGGCACACCCGCACGTCACGGCGGACGGCACCATCTACAACATCGGCAGCTCCTTCAGCGGTGGAAAGAGGCCCTCCGTCAACTTCATCGAATTTCCAGCGAACGCTTCCCCAGGCAAGACCACGTACAGGACAAGGCTGCTCTTGGTCTTTAGCCCCACGTCACACTGCCAACGGGTTCTTTTTATGGTGCGATTCCACGTGATATTACATTAGCGCATGCAGCAAAAATGCACAGAAAGAACAAACCTTAATCACATAATATTGCCAAAACATTATGCTGGCCTGTCTACTATTTTGCCGCAGTCTCCGGTGAAAGATGATTAGTTTGCAAAATCCAAAACACGCGAAAGAATTGCATCCGTTTATTTCAATATCAAGCCCCATATGCGATGTCTGGTTATTTCTAGGGATGAAATGCTCGCCAACCGTTCCGAACCTCGCTTATTATAATCACATCACCTGTTACCTGATCGTGGCGATACCGCGGCCACGACCATGTACCAGTGTATGCGGTTGGGTCAACTACGCTGAGCCGTCTTCGTCCTCGCCAGTGTTTCCTCTCTTCCCCGAGAGCGTCACTCTAACCTCTGCACGCCGTCCCCGAATTTGCCGCTCTAGCAGCTCTTTTCTTCGCTGAACTTTCGTAGGTCTCGTTTGGATAGACATCAGTACTATGATGAATTAAAATAGCTGCTCCAAAGAGCAGAGCTGTTTGATGTCTATGTCGATGTCTATACTAAATAGCCTTAGGCACGCAAGTTGCAGTACACTTCGATAGGAAAAAATTTGCTCGAAATGAAAGTCCGTCCTGATGGCTCAGTTGGTTAAAGCACCTACCTTCCGTTCCACCCGCCCGTAGCGGGGTGAGTTCGAGTCGGTTTGGGCGCTCGCTGTTTGTCCTTGGCAGTTATGGCCTGCGACCGATGGCAGCGGGCGCGAAAGGTCAATTGACGTCAGAGGGCAAGATGGACCGTGCCGAGCGCTGCAGCACGTTAAACTTTCGCCGTCAAATTCCGCCGTTGACCTGGGCTTGTGCGATCGGATAGTAGGGGTCAGGACTCACATAACAAGCACTAGTTAGCGTGAGCTCTGAGCCGTGAAACCTATGGATTCTAGAAGGTTCGGATCCAATCATTCGTAGGGACTTAAAGATTATAGCAAACATGAACAGGTATACAAACAAGCAAACAGGCAAAGCAAGCATCTTTTTCAGCTGAACCCTTGCTGAACTTTTCTCCTCCCCAAGGAAGCAACGCTTATATGTTCTGTGCTAACTAAAGGCTATTTACAGACCTCTCCTCCACCGGAGGCTCCAGTAGAGTTGATTTCTTTCATCCCCAGTTATCCCTATTTTTCGCTCCGTTCCCCATAGGCTCCATTCTCCAACGTCTCCGTTATTTCCCTACACTGTTGCGTCTCCCTCGCTTCCTCGAGGGCTTCGTTATAATACCTTAGCTCTTGAAAGCTTCGTTCTAACGTTTCGCTTATGTCATGGAAGTCCTCATTCCATCAACATATGTCCGTCTCCGAAGACCGGGCAGTAATGTCACTCATCCCCGAAGATCTCTCTATCATTTTCTCTCTCCCCCCCCGTCTCTCTCCCCCCCCCCTCTCTCTCTCTTTCTCTCTCCTCTCTCTCCTCTTTCTCTCTCTCCTTCTCCCTCTCGCTCTTGCTGCTCGAAGACTGCCCAGTGGCCGAGTCGGGCCGGATCGTCGGCTGTAACATCCTCTCTCCTCTCTCTGTCCAAAGGCTGCCGGTGGCCGAGTCGGGCCGGATCGTCGGCTGTAACATCCTCCCTCTCGTCCGAGCTCTCGTGGCCGGGTCGTGGCCGAATCGTCGCTGTAACATCTCCTTCTGTCCGAAGGCTGCTCCGTGGCCGAGTCGGGCCGGATCGTTGGCTGTAACATCCTCTCCCTCTCTTGTCCGAAGGCTGCTCTGATGGCCGAGTCGGGCCGGATCGTCGGCTGTAACATCCTCTCCCTCTCTTGTCCGAGGCTGCTCGGTGGACGAGTCGGGCTGGATCGTCGGCTGTAACATCCTCTCCCTCTCTCTGTCCGAAGGCTGCTCGGTGGCCGAGTCGGGCCGGATCGTCGGCAGCCTGCCGCACCGATGGCCTCTGGAGCCGTCCTACTTCCACAGCTTCGGCATTACCGAAAATTACTTTGTCTTTGTACAGCAGCCGCTAGTCATCCAGGTGAAGAAGATACCACTGCTGAAGCTGAAGAAGAAGCCTTTTATTGATGCGATTGCAGCCAAGCCGGAGCAAGAGGTAAGGCGATGCTTGCGATGAAAGGGTTGTTGAGATCTCATGGCGAGGGGCTTACGAATGCGTCGAGGAATGTGATAGAATTACGAATTTAGATAGAACTGCTTCTATTTGTATAATTTTCCCTTCGTCAATAATTTTTTTACCAACACCTTGGCCGTTAAAAGCTGATTTGTTTTCATTGTTGTTTTGCGTCGAATACTTTTCGACGGAATACTATTAAAACGCAGGGCAAATTAACTAACACCAAGCCGTTGACGAGCACCGACTTGGCAAGACCAGTTCTTAAATACACACGACTTCGTCGGGATCAAAAAATGTGTTGAGAGCGAGATCCCCGTCCTGACAAGTCTGACTGATAGCGGTAATGTGTTCCTTGATCGCCTGTCGTCTCGGCGGTGTTCCAGCCCCAAGCAGCCCCCCCCCCCCCCCTCCCCTCTACCGGAGCTGGCAGAAGCTGTGAGACCCGTGAACTCGTCTGGAGTGGCCGGCTCGCGCAGGTTGCCCCTAAGAGCAGCGAAACGCTGCCCACCAGTGATAAGTTCCACTTGCCGCGCATTGTCAACGCGTCTGTGACGGGGGGTATTTTTCCCGAGTTGAGAAGAACTGCCCAGGTGGTCCCATTTACCACGCGAAAGGCGACGTGCACGCGCTCTGTACCTATCGATCGATCTCCCTTCTGTCTCACTTGTCTGAAATTGCTGAACGTCGTTTTTGATCAATTCCCTTGGTATCCGTGTGACCACAACGCCTCCTCCCTGTCTTTTCTTTCCTCATATACAAGATATGTGAAAAGCTGTGAAATTCGTAGTCTGGTGCCTAACTTTCTCGCCCGTGTAGACGTGGATCCGCCTCGTGAACAAACGGACCGGGGAGGTGCACCCCACCACCTTCACTGCAGACACATTCTACGCCTTCCACCACGTCAACAGCTTCGAGCAGGATGGCAACGTGGTGATGGACATTTGCGGCGTGCTTCCCGGCAAGCAAAACGTCAGTGGAATCAAGTAGCATCAGAGTTAAGACTCGTCACTCAACTGTTGACTATAAATTTATTGGAACCAGGCGATCGGGACGAAAATCTCCAGTTAGTTGTTGAGTATTGTTGACTTTGATTTGGATCGTATTTTAGGATGAATCTCGCAACTCTGTATGCGGAAATTGCTTCAAAATTGCTACGTTTATCCGACCATAGTCCATACTGGTTTTGGCATCGGTAATCGATCGGGAGCCACCACTACTTGTCGGCACTGAGTGCTCCTGCTAAGAGGCTGGGTAACTTGTGCAGTCTGCACAGGTTGCATGGAGTGATTTGGGATTCCAAGACCGTCTTTGTCTGGCTTGAACGGCGCTAAGTAAATGCCGCATGTCTTGCAGGTGATGGAGAAGGTCTCAGTTCGATGTTTGGTAACGGATCAGGAGGAGCCCGAGGACCCCATGCTACGTTTTGTCCTTCCCTTACATGTAAAGGTAAGTTCCTGCAGCATTCTCCCAAGTTCAGGACCGCGTCGCTTATTTTAGTGAAGAAATGTGTCTGTGGCATATCCGGTAACTGTTTATTTGTCCTAAGCTGTTCATCTGAGCGAACATTTGCACGTGCTGACCTGAGGTCATCCTGCCCCCACAAAAAGGAACACTTTGGATCTCTAGCGTGAGTGAGGGCGTAAGCGCTGTGTGTGGCGTTTGCGCGCCAAATAGCATCAGCGCAGAAATGAACACAAATATAGGTTTACATAACCAGGGTAGTACATTGAGTAGCATAACGCGGCTTTTTGGGTTGGTTTGAGCCCTTTCGGTCAGTTTTGGTCATTTCAGGACCATGGAATGAAGGGGAGAGGGCAATCACGGGAGAGGGCAATCACGGGAGAGGGCAATCACGGGAGAGGGCAATCACGGGAGAGGGCAATCACGGGAGAGGGCAATCACGGGAGAGGGCAATCACGGGAGAGGGCAACCACGGGAGAGGGCAATCACGGGAGAGGGCAATCACGGGAGAGGGCAATCACAGCACCCATGACGGTGTGTCGCCAGCGGCTTTCCAAGGCCGTAGAACAGAGGGGCTTTTAAGCACACTCATGGCTGGTGATGGGGAGATGCTGTGCATGGGCTTTCCAATAAGTCGGGTTTTCACCCGCTCTGTACAGAGCGGTGACGTCACTGGTGCCGATGCTTCAGTGCGGCTTGGCCGATAGCCGTGGGGTGAACACTGCGGGGCATCTGGAACATCGGAAATATTCGTACAGATAGTAAGTAAGCTGTTAGCGGGAAATGCACATAACAAGCGAGCGGCTTACGTGAAACTGTACATGACAGGTGTGATTATGTGCTTTGCAAGCCTGGGCTACTTGCAATTGAGATACACTGGCATGACAGGCAACAACGCACACACGATAATTGTATGAGATAGGCGAGCTGAACACCAGACTCTCTCTGCATCGATAATGAACGGCGTGCTAGAGCAGGCGCCTGTGGCGAGCGAGCCAATCGCGTGTAATCGCGTCGAATATTGTGATGTGCTTGGCTAGAATATGCGGCCAACCATTACAATGAGATCGGCGCGGAAACAGAAACGCTTACGCGAAAACCGCTGCAGAGTTGGGCGACTGGGACGTTGATCACCTTTGTACCGATAACGGATATATTGCTGGAGGTAGGTGCATAAACCGAGGGAGCTCAATACGTTTAAGATAATGGGGAGCATAATGATGTGATAATGGCAAGTTGATACGACTAGCGGTCAAAATTCAATCAGCGCGAAAACCGGGAGCGTCCACGCACGAACTCCTGAAGAAAGTCAGCCTGAGCGTAGGGCTACTCTCTTACCAGCAACAAGTAGCTTATTACGGGAAGGTGCACTTTACTGCGAAAAGATGAGGGAGAATTAACCCGCGCCAGACGGAGGTGGGAGTTGACTTCCTCCTACGGGCTTTCGAGCACAGCTCATAAAACAAAACCTGCAGCAACACGTGATTTACAGAACCTATTGCTATCTCAATTTGGAATCCCTTGTGCAGATTCGAAGTTTTAATCTGCCAAAGTCATTGACCTAGCTGAAGTCAAAGAGGTCAACTTCTAAAAACACTTGACCACGCGTAGCTTGGGCATGCGTTATTGGCCATTATTTAAACATGCTCTAGAAATGATAATACCTACGATTTTTGGTGTCATATTTTCTCAAAACGGGCTGAAAAAGAAGATAAAAGAACAGGCAGACATCATCAACATTTAACTTATTTAGAATACGCCAAGGAGTAAACTCGAATGCGGTGCGCAGACCATTAAAGCCTACCTTCTGTAATTGTAAGCCTTACGTCGGGAGGCGCAGGTGATCGTCCCACATCGTCGGGAGGCGCAGGGGGTCGTCCCACATCGTCGGGAGGCGCAGGGGGTCGCCCCACATCGTCGGGAGGCGCAGGGGGTCGCCCCACATCGTCGGGAGGCGCAGGGGGTCGCCCCACATCGTATAGGAAACTGCATCGTCACCATACGGTGGCCTGAGCTGAATATACCGTGGACAATCTTAGAGGCAGCTGCTCCGCCATGAGAGATGGCGAGGTCCAGGACATTCTCCTCGCGCGTTGGTGGCGTTACACAGAGTGCACCGCTTCGCTTCCAGCGACAGAGGCCAGGAATTTGACAGCTCTGATGGTGCGCCCCAGTAGACTAGCTTCGTTGCCGTTGCCCATCCACCAAATCTCAGGGGAGCTTAAGTCACCCACGATGAGAAACGGCAGATTGGCGGATCGGATAGTCCGAAAGAAGACAGCGGTCGAATCCACGTCACGACAAGCATCTGGCGGACGGAGACAGCCGGGGTGGCAGGGTAGATGGTCCCCAACTGGATCGCCAGCACTTCGCAGTCGGGCTCCAGTTCTGGTCGGTGAACAGATGACAAGCTTGCCTTCACTGCACAAACAACGCCTCCTCCTCTGCCGTTCCATACATGGTCCGAGAGGCTCAGCTGTATCTCAGAGTCCAGCACATATCCAGCTCAGAAAGCCATCTCTCGTTCAGGCCGACAGCGACGAAGCCAGCCAGCTCCCCACCATGAGAACGCAGAGCGTATAGCTTGTTCTTCGAACTGCAGATGTTCTGGCAACACACTTACAGCGGTCTTAGCCTGTGTGCTGGCCCTGGTTCACTTTTGCACCTTCGCAGAGAAGCAAACTGGCCAGAAGCCAGCAGCAACAGGTAGGTTTGATGGGTTTGCCTCAATGCTGCAGAACAGATGGGAACAGAGCCCCAGGTCCGAGCTCTGGTACAGAGACAACGGTGCCGACAGTTTCTGATTCTTCACTCCTGACATCGCAAAGGCCATCAGATGCCAGAAATACGCCAGCAAATAGCGGGCGAAGAGCCGAGCTTCCGGCGCGACTTGAACATGCGACAGCCCAATAGCCCCACACCAGCGGGGCTGTGCGCGTATAGACAGACGCCCTAACCCCTTGTCTATGTTTTTCTCGTGCGACGCCTGGAGGTTGGAGATCCCAGGGAGAGTAAACTTCCCAGGCCGGGCGCGGTTGTATCAGACCACTGGCCGGGCACAGCCTAAATGGGAAGCATGATCATGTGCCTCGCGAGCTTATATTCAGCAAAGCCGTTACAATCCAGTCGGCATGGGAAGTGAATACACCTACGCATGGGCGCGGGTACTGTGGAGGGGGACTGAACCGTCCAACTTTCTTCAAATTTGGCATTGGCCCACCAGCTTGACTGGAGATAAGTGATAAAAAAGCTAACGCCCTTCCCCCAACCTAGGAGAACTTGTCTTGCGCTAATGCGAGAGTCGGTTCGCACGTAAAACTGGGTGCTGATCGCGTATTTTGCAAGGTTGAGCACAGCTTTGCGGAGAGCTGTTTTAGACAAAGAAAGGTCATTTTTTGTTACGTGGCCCAAATGTTGCCTTGGAAAACTGAGCAGGTTTCGGGCGAGGCCAAAACACATCTAGCTATTGGTCCATAATTAATTTCTGTTTAATCATCACGACGTGAGCACACTGGCACAGGGTTGCAAAGACCATATAAAAGGGATCATACCAACATTAAGGATGCAACAAGGCCAGAAAATCTGAGAAAATCTCAGCACTAAAAAAAACACAGGCATGCTGCAAACAGAAGAAGCAGAAAGTGATGTGCAGCAGCAAGATGGCGCATTGCCACTTATGTATCAATTAACACAATATGGCTGAGAAGGTTGGAAGGTACCCTACCAAACCAAGATATAATCTACGTTACCGAGCCACATACGGGGCAAAACTTGTCCTGGATAGACCGGCGCTTATATACTAAAAAACTAACGAATCAATTCAGATTGCCGAAAAGTATGCGGCCTCCACCACGTCCCTCACTCGCCGGTAATGCGTCTGTCGCGCCTAGGGGTAAAACCAGTGGCAGCCGAGCGCAGACGCGCCACGCTCGCCACCCACTCGCACCACCGGCGGTGCCACTAACACGGGGTGCAAGGCCGCATGCCATTGCGAAGGTCCCGCCAAATCACGTAGAATGAACACCAAGCTTTTGACCTTAGGCCGAATGTGAGATCACCAGAAGGCACGAAAGGTCAAGAACGGTCGTTCCAATAGATGCAGTTACGACCTTTGTTAACAAGTCAAGACGGACATTTAAGGAAATAGGCGTTGAGACTGTGGGGAGTCCAATTCGGTCATATCTGTTCATCCACATGGGTCAGGTCAGATCAGATCACTGTTCAAATGTGATCTACCATTAGCCTACAATAATGGTACTCTTCTTCACAATGTGCTTCTGACTACGTTTATTTCATGGGGCGCAACTGTGTGAAAAAGTATTCCAGGCACAAAAACACCATTTTAGGGTGACCTAGACGAGTTCAACTTGGCCAAATTAATAAACCGACCGAATAAAATGGAATTGCTAACCGGGCGTATGTGACCAGTACAATGGTAACGCTGTTGTGAATATTATGCATCGTCCCTTCGACGCTCGGCAAAGTGTTTATAACAAACTGAGAACGGGTACGTTGGTACATGAAATAATGCATCATCAGCTTCACAAACACGATGAGGTTACACGCATCGCACTCGTTCATATAGCTTCTCCGCCACTGACAACATAGGTCATTGACCTTGGATGTTATATAGTTTTGCATGTTTACGTGACTTTTTGTGATTTCATTATGCATTAGAATGCTTTTAAAGCATGTTTGCAATAGACAATTCGAATCATGTTTCCAAAACCACCGATTAACTCTGCCTATGTTGAGCTCAGCATGTGTTTTGCAAAGTAGGCACGCATAGAGGTAGGTCAGGACCTGGGCCAAGGTCATGTGTTTTGTGGTCGTGTGATGGTTGTGCGTGTCAGTTAGTATTCTTTCCCTTATATACATACACCAAAACTTAATAAAGATGTGTATGAAATGCATTATTTACAAAAACAGCAAAAATTGGGCGGGGTTCAGGTCAGTGCATTGGCATTTTCGAAAGTCTAAACTGGACAAATTGCAGCTAGCATTATGTTTGATTACTACAGCAAGCTTGATTAATGGCCGAGGTCACAACAAATTATATGTGGTCGTTTTTTAGGAACTGACCTCATTGACCTGACCTAGATCACTGATCTTGGTAGATAAAAAGTTCAATTTGCACAAAGAATTTCGCACTGAAAGTTGAATCGGCACTGCAAATTTCATGTGGCTGTAAGCGTTTGTATGTAAGCTGTGCTCCAAAAACCGTAGGGGAGAAAGTCAAAGCCCCCCGGCCGGGCGCATGCAAACATTTTGCTCGTTATGGGTGCGAAAGCAACCCGATGTATCTGCCGCCCCATGGAGAATAAGTATCGTGTGTTCGTCCTCATTTTTCATGTCATTGCATATCAGTGGTCTGTCACACGGGGTTGCAAAACGCACGATCATATTCGTCATAATATTTTACGTAATTGACTTTCTGGTCATATTCGCCCACCTTCCTCTAACGGCTGTTTCATTTTCTGTACGAGCATTTCGATATTCCTATTGCCCCTCAGCACTACGTACGGCGTCGAGTGGTTGCCACGCATTAAAGTCGTGATACCAGTGACACCACGCTAAAGTTAAGCGAAAATGAAGCGAGAATCATCTGCTGGTGAGAATCACCTCCTTGGCTGGTAGTTTTTTTTTTGCCTCGGATAAATGAAGCGTCACGAACATGCAAGAAGACGAGAGCATAAAGAAATGAGGACGGGTATAACCTGGCGTTACCTTGAACCTTGTTTTGTTGGCTGCTTCTTGCCTCTGAACCACTTTGATTTTGAAATTAGGTGTACGACAGCTTGAACCACTTTGATTTTGAAATTAGGTGTACGACAGCTCGGGTTGAATGGCCTTGCTCACCTCTTGGTAGATAGTCCGGGGGTTTCGAGGCCCCCATCGATTACACATTGACTTGACCAATTCAGACATTGTGCAGAACTACGAAAACTTGTTTTGTTAAGTCACCTACATCTTAAACGTTCTTGAAACAGTGTTCTTACTTCGATCAATCATTCTCCTTGCCAGGGTCCCACAATTTCGCGTGCGACGTTTCCTTCCGCGGGAGCCCCCCGAGTGACCGTTATCTGTCCCATTGCCCGCAGCCTGGCGACCCTAACCGGAACCAGGTTACCCTAGAAGGGTCGCCGGCCACAGCGCATGTCCGCGGGGACGGCACAGTGCACTGCGCGCCCCAGACGCTGACGCCGAGCGAGTATCGCTCGGTGGACCTGCCGCGCATCAACTACGCCTTCAACGGCAAGCCGTACCGCTTCGCCTACGCCTGCCGCTTCGTCGGAGCCGGTCTCAACTCGGAACGCGTGAGGCAACATCGTCACGTTCAGGGGTTGGGAAGGGTTCGCGGTTGCCGTGAGTTGTCTCTGACCATGTTAGACCTGAGGCGTGATTTATTTTGTAAGTAAAGCGAGCGTTCTAAGGTTGACGGTGGCCCGTTACTTTCACCGGGAGTGCGGGCTGCTGGAAGGACCTTCGTATCGCCTGAAAAAAATCATTGAAGTGGTAGCCTTCTTTGTGTGTGTAACATTGCTTAGAGACTGATTTGTTCCCTTGCCAGCTCTCTCCGTGTCTGCGGCTAACCAGCGCCCTCTGCTCGGCAGCTTCTCAAGCTGGACGTAGCCTCTGGTCAGGTCGCCACCTGGAGCGACCCCTGCTGGTCACCGTCGGAGCCCGTTTTCGTGGCGGCGCCCGGCGCTGACGCGGAGGACGCCGGTCTGCTGCTGGCCTCGCTGCTGCACGTGGAGGACCCGCGTCGCGCCTCGCTGCTGGTGCTGGACGCGACCAACATGGGCGAGCTGGCGCGCGCCGAAGTACGCACCGACGCGACGCTGGCCAAGGACTTCCATGGCCTGTTTGCGGCAAGCGGTGCGACCGTCCACGCGTACTAACGAAGAGGCGTGTGGTTCCGGCTGCGTGGCAATGACAGCCGGACTGGGGCAGAAGCAGTGGTGACGGAAGTGGTGACGGAAGTGGTGACGGAGCCGGGGTGTAATTTTTTGTTCGGTGGGTGGGGAGCGCCAGCGCTTGAACACTGAGAACGCTTTGCGGCAGTCATTAAAAAATTATGTTGAGCGTTTGGGGGACGTGGTGACGGAGTCGGGGTGTAAATATTTATTCAGTGGGTTGGGGGAGCGCCAACATGAGCTTTGATAGCATTGCCCGCCAAGTTCGTGAAAAGGCATATTGGGCGTTCGGAGATGTTTATACAGCTTTCCGCCTCGTTCCCAACGTAATTTGCGAACCTACACACATGTACAGAATGATGTACAAACATGGCCGCTGGGCGTCCATCCATACAAGGGAAGTGCGAACTTGTATCGTCATGCGTTCAAAAACAGTGCCGGAGATGGCGACGAGTCCTACTGGTTCTGGGCTGATGCATATGTATCTGGGCTGATGCTGTTATGGTGCGGCGCCGCGGTTTTAGACAACCTTGCGCGCTCCTTGCCACTGGGCTGGGAAGCCAGGCTGGGCCGCGGCTGGGCTGAGTGATCGATTGATTGATCGAGTGTCTGTGGTCGGGGCGTGACTGGCTTGTCGCTCAGCTTAGCTCTTTTCTCGTGCGAGCGGACAAGCCAGGACTGCCGCGAATTACAGAGGTGGCACTAGGGGAAGTCTGCAACTGAATGGCGCCGGTGCCGAGCTGAAAAGCAGGCTGGAGGATTTATATGGAGGTTCTGATTTGCAGGCGCTCGCGACAGCCTTGTGTCCTGTGGGGTCGGAAGACACTCTTCTCTTGCCTCGGCTAATGTGAACCACATTCCGTTTATTATATGCATGGTCACCGCTGCTTCAAGTGCAGCACAGGCATCACGTGTAGACATGAGTGTCGATGTCTCAAAATTGCTGTCCAGATTCTGCCCTCCGCTGCCAGAGTCTTGAAAGTCGTCAGGAGAGCAGTTGCAACAAACTTGCCGGATTTCGTCCAATTATATTCTGGTTTTCTGGTCATCTATTATATATAAAGGTAGATATATACATATATATATATATATATATATATACATGCATATATATATATATATATATATATATATATATATATATATATATATATATAATGCGTCAGCGCTTCGATGCAGTTAAGTTGTATCATCAGGATACAAATGTTCAAAGGTACAATGAAAGAAGGGTGCATTTAACAAACATCGTAGGGCATCACCTGTATCGCTCATGTCCATGGTCATGATTAACACCACATATATATGCAATACCACTTTCCTTGATGTGAAAGTTCGATAGTCACATGGCAGATTTTGAGCTTCTGTCTTCTAAAGAAAGCACGCGTTCAGTGTGAGCATTTGTTGCATCAGATTATCTATGGTTGACATCATATATTGTTTCCATAGCCTTGGTTGGCATTATTAAACGCGAGCACAACCCATGTCTGTGTGCAACCAGGACAACTTGAAGCATACAAAAACACGCGACGAAAGATCTTTTACCCTTTGTATGAAGGAATGCTGCCTGCAGCGGATATGCAGGCCCCGTGATATTCAATAGCGGTCTGTTTTGGTGAACATGAAGAGTATCTTAAGTCCTGAGATCAAAATAATTGAAGTAACGCCCAATATGGAAACATTGTAATGTTCAAGCGAGTTTCACACTTAAATAGTTTGTCTTGGATGGGCATGTGATCTGGGCTAAAATTTGTCATACACATCACAAATCGCTACATATGTACGACTTAATGTTTGAGTCGAGTCAATGGCTCACAAGTTACACGATAAAAACGAAGATGTGGCATTGACTTCGCTGAATCCATTGCCCGACTTTAACCTACCGTAGGTCAGCGGCCTTACAACGTGCATCTACACTTTTGATGCTAAACGATCTGCTATTCAATTTTCAATGGCGTGGTTCAAAGCAAGCCGATGTCTTGTAAGAGGCAGAGACGATTCATTGGCCTCCACCAGCAAGTTTCTTGTTCGGGCCGTACAAAATGCTCCAGTGGCTTCACCAACCAACGCATGGTAGATTGCTTCCAAAACCTGCTTTGAAGATGTCGCACGTCGTCGCATTGTCGCACACAGGGCCAACGTAGTCGATGACGGATCGAATTAATGCTCTATATAGGTAAAACAGGGTACACCTAACGGCTCCAAAGGTCATACGACACATCTCTTTCATAAGGTTCATGCGCCTGAGACACTTGACCTGTATCATCTTCAAGTGTTGCTTAAATGTGAGCGGACAGTCGAATGTGGAGCCGAGAAAAAACCACATTACATACTGGAATAGTGGCATCATAAAGCCGCAACTCCGGGTCTCTTCAGCCTTGATGTCATGAGCAGAAATGCACGCACTTGGCTTTGACGGTGAATATTTGAGGCCATTCCTTACGCTCCACTCATTAGCCGAATGAGACGTGACTGAAGCTGTCTCGCTACGGATGTCGTCGATGCGTCGACGTCGTCGACCAGATGGCAGTCATTCACAGTGACCGACTGATGGTGGGTGGCGGACAGCCGAAGATATTATCAGTGCAAACAGGGTTACGCCAAGAACGCTCGCTTGGGAAACACCGTTCTCCTGTCCGTAGCGGTCAGACATGCTACCCACTCGAACTTGAAACGTCGGCGACATAACAGTTTTCAACAGACTGCCATGGGACCTCCTAATCCATCCTTGTGTAGCTTGTTCAGAATGCCATGGCGCAAGTGGTACCATGTTCAGTCACGCTCAATGTTAGAGAAGATGGCTATTGTGCGACGTCTTTGTTTAAAAGTATGTCGTATAGTTGTGTCTATGATCGATAAGTGGTCAACAGCACACCGGTTCTTTCGAAACCCGCATTGCACCTGGGAAAGACAGACGTGAGTTCCTGCTGTTTTGATCGCAGCGTAGCCCTTATCTGTCATGAAGTTTTCCAACGCAGCTCAGCGCACTCAAACAACTAACGCCGAACATGGGGATAAATCTGACTCGGTCCTCTAATTCGAACCTGTTCCGCTGCACTCCACTAACATTCAGATATGTGCTCAGCTGGCATCAGTGTTTTTCTCCGTTTATTGAAAACTCGGCTGGCTGCGCATCGACAAGACATCGCGGTGTTATGTACAAAAAAACCCAGCGGCAAGCCAGCCCCTCCGCAGGTCGCGCCAATCTAACGTCGTCTCAATCAAACCTCCCCTGGCGTCCACCCCGCCAGTTATTTCATCCACCGTCAGACAGATGGCGCGCGCGGCGCTCAGACAGTACAACAGCGCCGACCGGCCGATAGATGGCAGACGCGACGTCGTCCAGCAGTGCGCCGGAGACGCCGCCACGGGGCGCCGGGCGTGGCCAGGCAAACAGGAATCAGGCGGGAAAGCACCATTTCACGAGTTTGGCGAGCGTTTGCGTGGCAGGCAGTCATGGGCACAACACGAGAGCGCAGAAGAGGGCCATGGCCCCAGTGCAGCGACAGACACCGGCGGCCGCAGCAGGTGATCGGACGCGGCCGCTTCACAACTGCGGCCGGCCGTCACGCGGTCCATGCAAACATAATGCTTATCCGTAGACGCTAATTAAACAATACAATCAATAAACTGTTAGAATCCAGCAACTTAACTATTCTGTCAGACTGGCTAGAGGCCAGAGGCGCCGCCTGACGCACACAAACACGCACACACGCGCACAAGACGGGACCACACGCACCCACACGCCGCGCGGAGACACTCGCGGTAGGCCAGACGCCAGCCAGACAACACGGTAATATAATTCGTTGTCTAAGTTAGTGGCCGCCGGCGTCGGCACCCACGCGCGGTAAAAAATGACCACGCACCTCGTAACGCCCCGTCTAAAAATATCTGGCTCTGGGGACACCGCGCGCCGACAGGCGACAGGCCGGGCGCCGCCACGCGGCCCGGGCAACGCCCGCGAGTCCACGTTCAACGCGCCGGTGGCGCCGCCTTCACGCCGCAGTTGCGCCACCTGCGCCGCCCGGGCGCCGGTTTTACGAGTGGTGGGCGGTGACGTATGTGTTGGGGAAGAGGCCCTTCCGGTCTCCGATCTCGCCGCACCACCAGTGCTGGTCGGACCGGTCCGTGACGGTGATGATGTCGCCGCGCTTGAACTCCAGCTCGCCCTGCTCCTGCGGCGTGAAGTCGTACAGCGCCTGCACGTGGTACTGCCGGAGCGGAGGGGAGCGGGTGAGATGGGCAGAGGCGCCCACGCCTCCAGCAGAGACGCGGTACGACAGCGCTCGGCGTCGACACCGATAGCCACAGCTGCCATGCTGTTAGATTATTCTAGTAGTATTTGCGACGAGCGTTTGTACCCTCTAATGCCGGCGCTGCCCTGGGTGGTCGCTTGCAAGTCGCTCAACCCAGCTTCGCCTCTGGACCACCATATTCACGAGCCTGACGTAAGTTCACTCCACCCAACACTATCGGCTCGGCCGACTGGCGGGCTCACCTCCTGCGACACCATATCCCTGAGCTTGATGTCCTGCGAGCGGCTGACGCTGGCCGACCGGTGGTACTCCACCAGTTCGTTGAGCGAGCTGAACTTGACCACCCAGAGGAAGAACTTGCCGGTCGCGTCCCGCAGCACCTTGAAGTGTTGCACGCCGTCTCCGCACCTGGCCGGCCAGCCCACACAGGCGCCCGTCAGCCCAAGCAGCGGGGACACAAACACAGCGCCGTCCGAGTCACGGCCAGGGCCCGACAGCGAAGACAACAGAAAACGCTGGTCGAGGGCGGGGGGGGGGGGGGGGGGCAGAGAGCTACTCAGGGCGGGAGGAGCCATAACACAGGTCCGAAAGTAACCGGGGATCGGGGGTAAGACGGGCACAGGCTGGAAAAAACGACGTGGAAGGAAACGAGAGCAGCATACGTGACGGGTGCCCATCTGCCAGTCAGATGCGGGAGGCAGCATACATGGCAGCATAGTTCATGTGAAGGGCAGCTCAGTTCACGTGAGGGAAGCACGGTTCATGTGAGGTCAGCACCGTTCATGTGAGGGCAGCCCGTTTCATGTGAGGGGACCACAGTTCATGCAAGCAGAGCAGTGATCTACACAGGTCGTGTGAAGAATGGAGAGCGGGAAGACAGCGCCAGCACGGCTCAACGCGTTCACAGACCCCAGGAGCGCCGTGACGACGTCTGACCGGCGGGTTACACGCCACCAGCTGCGTCCCCTTCCTCCCCCCCCCCCCCCGCCAATCAGTCACCATCCGCCGGCAGCGGACGACGGCGGCTAGCGCGCTCACCTCCACCCACAGCTGACCCCGTCAGGGCGCAGGCGCTCCCCTGAGTCAACGTATCGCCCCAGCGGCGACGCTGCACGGTGTGCGTACAGCCCGGCAACAGCGACAGCTGAGGCACCCCGCCCATGGCGGGCACGGCACGGCACCAGGCGGGGCAGTCCCGGCACTCCAAGGCCAACAGATTCCACCAATGGGCGGTTATGCCTCGTCCAGTTGCTGCCACCGACGCTCGAAATAGCCGGCCTACTTGCCATCGCTAACCGCAGCGTTCTGATTCGGGCCTGAACAATGTAATAAACACACAAGCCTGACCGGGAAACGCAAGACTCGTGCGAACACGGAAATCCATGAGGCTGCAGGTCTGATAGAACCAGGGAAGGGCGACTGCATAACAGACGGCTGATTCAATATCAGATGGTTCACGCGACCTAGCGTGCGACGCGATGGGACTTGGTCGCCGCGATTGGCTGCATCGGTCGATACTGACCGTCTGGCCGTCATGAAGTCATCATCACCCACACGTCACGAACTCAATTACTGAGCGGATCGAACCTGCCACCTAACGGGATGACCAAACACGCCCCGGCTCATGATGAGCATCACCTAAATGTATGTAGTGACGTCAGATCACGCAATGTCACCCCGATATCAACATCGCCCCGTCTCCATGTCCAATTACGACCTGAGCCGGACAAAGCCCGTCGCGTCTTCCACCCCAGCCTGCCCAGCCACTTCACACTGACCCAACGAACCACGCGCCATGGCGCCCGGGGCCCTCCTCTGCCCGGGCCGCCTGGCACACAGCGCCGCCCTCCTCTGCCCGGGCCACAGTTTATAGTCGTCTGGACCGGGGCCACCGTGCGGTTTGGCGGCGGCGGCGCCCGCCGCCGTGGCCCGCCGGCGCCGTATGCCACGCCCGGCGCGCAGCAGACCCGGTGGGGAGGGCTGAGCAAGGGCGCGCAGGCTCTACCCCCCGACACCGACAGGACCACAAGTCTGCGCTGGATGACACAGCGCCGGTGGCAATGACGCCGACGTCGGTGGCACGGAGTAGGCTGACGAGCGTTGGCAGTCGCGGGGTGACGGGCCGGTGGCAGTCGCGGGGTGACGGGCCGGTGGCAGTCGCGGGGTGACCGGCGGTGGCATTGGTGGGTGACGGGCCGGTAGCAGTGAGGGTGACGGGCTGTGGGACTGATGGGGTGACGAGGTATACCTTTTAGGGTTGGCCTGGTACCATCCGCCGGCCGTTTTTTTTTCTTACGTTTGTTTCACGCCACTAGAAGGGGGGGGGGGGGGGCGTAGGCCATGACATCCCCTCGGTTTCCCACCGAGTTCACTTACAAAAGTGCCTCTATCTTTACCGCGAATGCAGCCAACGGCGTCGCTTTCTCTAAGGGCAAGGTCAACAGCCGAGCTACCTTCACCCGAATATCGTCGAGGAACGTTGCAAACCCAACTTCGTCCGACCACACCACTATTTTCGAGAACAGAACACTGCAGTCGCTAGAAATTCGCCAACGCAAGTTTTCGGTGCCAGATCTCTATCAGATATACCTGCACGCCTTTTATCATATTCTGGGCACAATTTTCGGCCACCAATGTTATCAAAAGGACGGCACATATTTATATTTTGCTGGAGCCGGCGCCATGCAGTGCTCCGTGGAGTTTACAGGGGCTTCCACTACCTTTCGCAGGGAGACCACCGCCTGCCCGGAGAGCAGTGCTCCGTGGAGTTTACAGGGGCTTCCACTACCTTCCACAGGGAGACCACCGCCTGCCCGGAGAGGACCGCCGCCTTCCCTTCGAACGGATCTCAACAGCGTAAAGGGTGTCGCTCTGTTAGCCGCTAGAATTGCCAGTCGGTGCATAGCCGCCACCGGGCGGCGATGCCTTCGCAATGGCCACGTCTTTCCTCCAAAACTTCCAAATTACTAACACCGTAATTTTGGGGAATCCAAAAACCCTATTGGGCCTTTATCCTGCATCCCCAAACGCCTCAGTCACGAAAGGTGGGCTATAGTTATTGAACATCGGGACATTTAAACCCACGCGGCCATCTAGAGAGACTTATACGATTCCACTTTCTGTAGCTACCTCAACTGGAACGTGCCCCACAGAAACCCTCATCCAAATGAGCTGCATTAAGTATATGATCCTTGAGACAGAAACGAGAACGTCTTCTGTCGGGGCGGTCAATGCACACTCAACTAAATAACCCTCAGGACAGCTACGAAAAACCTCCCACGGTATCCATCGAGCTGATATATTAATGCAATGCAACATCAACTAAACAACGGCCAGGACAGTTATGGAATACCTCCCATCGCGTCCATCCAGATGATGCAATGTCAAATAAATGCGGGGTAACCCGATTTTCGTGATCCAAATTCTTAACGCATCTTCGCTTGTCACAGTTACACTCTGAACCTTCCCATTTTTCCCTACGCAATGCCACACGTTCATCTGCTGCATGGAGCTCGGTACACGCTGTCAGCGCAGCAGCACTGCTGGAGACTGTAGGTCATCATTCAGATGTAACACACTGCCGGCCGACGCCGAAACCAAATACGGAACGTGTGCGCTGCACCAGGCATCGGGGCATGTCACTTATGGACGGGCGCGCAGCCTCTGACAGTGTCCCGCACACGGACAGGGCCGCCGGTGGTGGCGGCGGCTGAATGTGGTACACCACCGGGAAATGAGGCAACGCGGGGCACTATTCGACATCTGCAATGGCAAACATCGGGATGTCTTCAGTGCCCCATAACGGGAAAATGGCTTCCGGGACCCGCGCACTATCTGCAAAGCACCGTTTACCGCACAACTGATGGGATATTGTCCCTTCACAGACGGCAGCTGCTAACCCGTCAGCACGCGGGCCAATCCCCAGCGTGTCACGACCGCTGAACGGTGGGCATGGGCCGTATTAGGGCGGTGCCCACGCCCTGGGCGTCCCGGCATGCCCGGCCTTCACTGCGACAAAGTGTGCACACGAGCAGCCGGGGACCGTCACTCCTCGGCGCATAATGCAGTGCACAGCACAGAGGGGAGTGTTTAGGACGATCCCCCGCTGACAGCACAGAACATATCACACGGAGAACAGAACACAGGATACGCGGGAGAACGCGGAACACAGACCGACGCGTTTAACACAGCACAGGCCGCAGCAAACGGCGACAAGAATTCTCTGAACGCTGAGCGGAACCTCCAACCGTGAGCAAAACGCAGAAACAAGGTACAGAACACACGACCAGTGCAAACACGCTACGCAGAGCAGGACACGGTACGCAGCGGCTGCGTGGCGCTGAGCGAGGACAGTCCGTCGGTCAGTCCACAGCGCTCTAACCCTGCCTGCTGACAGGCCGTGCGCGGGAGCGAGGCAGTCCGTCGGTCAGCTCCACGGCGCTCTACCCTGCCTGCTGACAGGCCGTGCGCGGAGCGAGCGCGGTACGGAGGAGGCCAGTCGGTCAGCTCCACGGCGCTCTCCCATGCCTGCTGACAGGCCGTGCGGGAGCGAGCGCGCGGTACGGAGCGAGGCAGTCCGTCGGTCAGCTCCACGGCGCTCTCACCCTGCCTGCTGACAGGCCGTGCGCGGAGCGAGCGCGGTACGGAGCGACACGACTGCCGACGCTCGCCGGGCGCGTCATGACATACCTCACGCCCAGCATGACAGACAGCACAGACACGAGCGGCCCAGCGGGACTTACTTGACGCTGAGCGAGAAGTCGGCCGGCGAGCTCTCGCTGACGCGCACCACGAACGCGCCCTCGTGCTTGTTCATCAGCATCTTCTCGGCGTCGGCGCGCGTGATCCGGCCGTAGTACCAGCTGAAACGTAGGCGGCGTGAGCAGGGTCCGAACACCATAGGAGTCAGGCCGGGGCCGGCGCCGCTGACCGGTGACGGTCGCCCTTTTACCCACACCGGATATCTGGGAGGCCATCCTCGCGGCGCCGGTGCGAGGCGAACACTTCACCTCACGCTCAGAGACAGGGCCGCCGGGCGTTAGGAACCGCGCCAGATCTGCTGCCGGTGTGAGCGGCGGGATGCACCCGCCGCGTCCGGCCGGCCCCGACGGGAGGCTGTCACCACATCCATTTGATGCAACACCATCTGTGTGCAGCAGCGTCTGGTGACGACAGTCCCCGTCACACGCCGCCAGAGGCGTCTTCCCGACGCGTCATCGCCGCAAACATACCACACCGACCACGGCAGTTACCAGGCACCAGTCACTTTATCACCTGCTCGCGTGCGATGAGCGTTAGCGTTACAATCTCTCCCAACGACCTGGGCAGAGGCGGCTAGACAGTCCGGCAGCCCGAGCTGCGTCCATGACCGGGTCCGCGCGCGTGGCCGGCCGGCCCGCTAGCCGGACGGCACCGCCGCCGTCGGAGGAGCCGGCCGCGCTCGGGGCCGCCCATACTCACTCATGCGGCTTCATCTCGATGTAGTTGCTGGGGATGAGGCCCTCCCTGCTCTCCAGCTCGGCGCGGTACCAGTTCATGTCGTCCTCCATGTTCAGGATCTGGCGATGGCACGACGGGTCAGGACGAGGCCCCTGGCGAGGCGACGCTTCCCGTGGTACCGGCACGGAACACTGATCACCGTCGCCGACTGATGCGGCACGCGCGCCGCATTGTCCGACTAACGACGGCGAGTAATCAGGGTCTTTGAAATACATTTCGTCGCACGAACCACTGGGAAATGACGCACCTGGAGTAAGAACTACTATAGCAGACTATAGGTGACTACGGCTGACTGCATGGACTGCTAGGTTTAATATGCATGGCTTTCGTTGTCAAAAATAGACTTGTTTGCTCATGGTTTCTCAAAAATACTGGTAGCACCCATGTTTGAAACACTATTGACAATTTTGATCCAATAGCATTACTTACTGAGCAGCTCAACTCGAACTTACAAGACTTTGGCCCTTGGGCTTTTTGAGGGAATACACCTGGGCTTTCTCAAGGACAAATGGCTATTCCTGTGGAAATGACATCACCGTCAATATGCTTATCTGTAAACTGGTGACAAATATCACATAGCTGGGCCAAGGCATGGGCTTGTGGCATTTTCACAATGTCAATGTTTCCCTTAAGGCAGCCTGTAACTCGACATTGGGTGGGCAGCACACCATTGTCCTGCCACCAACAGATCGGACATCCATTGCTTGTCTCAGGCACAGAAAGTCTAAATAAAAAATCAAATGGCAACCATCAGCACAGTGGCATTGGACAACACGACAAACTTAAGCTGGTTCCGCCGCTTCGTCACAGCACCACCGCGACAGACCTGAGCCTCGCCGCCTACTGCCGCGGGTCCGGGCCCCCCTGGCTCCCAGCAGCATGAGCTGCAAAGCATTTCAAGCTACAACTCAGTCATTGTTAAAGAAAGTTCCTTTAAACTCCGTGCGGGCATTGGTTTGGTCATATCTACAATATATCGCCTCAGGTCTTCATAATTTTGAGTCTAAGGCAAAACATATTGAGCATACTTTCTATCATCATTTTTGTTCCTTAACATGACAATGTTCCAATGAAAACATTGGAGCACTGACATATACGCACATGATGAACTAATTGGCCCGCAGTTTCTGTTATACCGACAACAAAACATATTCTGTCATCAACCTGTCTACTGCTAAGTGCTTTGGTAAAAAACTGGCAAACATATATCACATCACTTCCACTTATTCTAATCATGGCTGCTATTTTGGCACAAGGCCAAAAATGCATAATCAGGCAGGCACTAAAACTTTTGCACTGATTTGCACATCACATTTTTGAAAGATTGCAAATACTTGATAGTGATTGGACAGACCTGATTGCTCCTCCGTGAATGTCAGGTTAAGGATACTAAGCATTTTTAAGAAGTAAAACTACATGAATCATGTATGCAAACAGGTGATTTGATATTTTGACAAGCAATGGCTGATCACAAAGACTACACAGAAACACAATCAAAGCATGGCCATATTCGGCATGTTTCATCACTGCATCAGTGGCTGAAGTCCAATAGCATGGGGTGCATCTTCCCTTACCTTACCTCACATTTATGTACCACTGCCTACCAAGCAGTTAGCGTGCCTGCAGTTTTATCTTTAACACAAAAATGATCACGTGTGTGCATGAAAGATAGTTTGGGTTAACCTACATACTGATGGCTGACTTTTTCAGAAATAACCATCAAGATAATATATTAGGGAACAACTTATCTTATCTTGTGGTGGTGATTTGGGGTTTTGGGGTGTGTCAACTGCTGTATGTCATGCCGGACCTATCTTATCTCAACTCACAGCTATCAGTTTGGGCAGTGACACCTCATATTCCTATGACCTGAAAGTGCCAATGATTGTCTGATGCAGAAAGGAATAAATGAATAAATGCTTTTTCCAGATTAAAATCATGCAAAAAATGGGATAATTACCAGGGGAAGGGCACACAGATGACCATGAAGCCTGACTCCATGGCACGTACAGCAATCAATGCAGCTCAACTCTACTTAAGTCTGGATTACAAACACAAGTGTAATGATGTTCAGGTTGACTAGTATCATTGTTAGCTAATGGATACTGATATCTAGATCCCGATGAGATGCACACTTTCATGCATGTTACTGAAATTGTAATGGGTTGTGATAAACAAAGCAGACAATGAATTGGGTACCCCCTGAAAGTTATGATCCAAACTATCATTGCATAATTTGTTTGAACATGGTAACACTTGTGACACCTTTAAAAGTTTAAGTTTTACCTACACAAGGTCATGGACATTGGATGTAATTACCATAAAAGTACTGCACTGCAGCAGTGTTAACCTCATTAAAAATTGTCTTCCTTACTGAAAGCACTCTGGTTCCAGTGACTATGCATAATTATTTTACTCATCCTTGCAATAGCTTGCGTTAGCATTAATAATTTTTCTTAAAGTGTCATTTTGGGAAACACTGCTCTTCATCATGATAATGTTCTGTATTTAGAAGAAGAAAAAAACACCAAAAAAGTGAACTATTTATATAATGTAAACCAAATCTCCATGAAAACGTGAAACAGTAAGACTGAAAACAGTAAGTAAAGTGACTGAATGTCTGACCATGATTGTAAACAGTATGTTGTATTTTGCAACACAACATATCATTTTGCATTTACTGCCATTTTTTGCATCAACAGTACTTTTCACTTATTCCACTATTTGCATCATTAGGCTTACTGCATTTTCACACAGATCTTGACTTGAGAGCTGTCTCAGCAAACTACTAGCAAATCTAAATACAACGCGGCACGTCAAGTAATTTGACAGTGCTAGAGCGACTGAAAGACCTCCTGCTGGGTTTTCAAACCAAATGTGCCCAGTAATCTCATTCAATGTTGTGTATGCCTGTCCTGAGTCTGGCACAATGAAAAACAACATAATAACTAGTACCTTCTGAAAGTAGGCTGCATGCATAGCATTATTGACACACAAATACTAGCTAACATACCACTACCTTGAAATACAACAAGATCACAGCAAAATCCATCCACCAGAACCAGTGCTACACTCAAAACTACTTTCTGTGTTTAAACTGAATAGTTCCAGAGCAGAAATAAAACTTATTTTTGATAAGCATTTTCAGCTTCTAGCAGCATCAGGAGCATTTCCTAATGGGAGAATTATGTTTTCATAACCGGTGTACACCAGAGACATCTTTGAAGACATGCTTGTACCATGGCATGGCAATAAAGGCTGGCATGTGGAAGCCTACATGAACATCCATCACAAATGCACAAACTCCCTCACCTTGAGCACATGTCCCTTCCGGAAACTAAGCTCGTCCTCTGCAGTCGCAACGAAGTCATGTCTGGCAATCGCTTCCATAGCCCTTCTTGCCAATGGGCTGCACTAGGTCCGCAATAATAAGTGGCTTTAGGGTATCGGGCCAGGCCCTAAGGGTCACGACGAACCCGGCGCAGGCTGACACCTGTCTCCACGCCTTGTTTTGGATAGAAAGACAACCGAAACCAAGTTCAATGACTTCTTCTGCACTTTCCGTCTGCGATCGCAATACAGAATACGAGATATATCGAGCTTTCGGAGATAATAGGCACGCCCAGCGTGGCCACACACTACGCCGGGCTCCCCGCAACTAAGTAAGTACTGTTACGGAGTGCAATAGTGATGTTTGGATGGGTTGATCATTTTGCCAGTACTTAACGGGACAAACGTCGTATTTACAAACATGAATCATGTATATTGCATATCAGGATCTCAGAATTACTTTTCCTGAACATTTTGTCACCAAAAATTTTATTTCAGTCTTAGCACTTAATCTTTGATTTTCTTAGGATCAAGAAATGCGTCATCAGTACAAGTAGTATAAATCTCTCTAGCAACATCTCTTGCCCTTCCTAAGGGAGAGGATTGGTGTCGAGGCGGTGGTCTCATGGAATACGCTGTGTGCATGTACGGGGGGGGGGGGGGGGGGGGGGGGACGGGGGTGTGGCAGAGGGCGCAGCCAGAGCAGAGGTGTCACTTCCAAAATCGGTTGGGGTGCTGAGTAGATGACGTTGACCGATCCTACCCCAAATTTTGTTTTCCCTGGATTACGGCCACTTTGATTTGCACTTCCGACGTAAAAAGTGTAACAAATGTTACGTCGCATCCTAAATGAGGCGCACCACCGTGGACAATCGACCGGACAATCGATTACCTGCATCAAGTCCAGCTGTTGCGTATCATGGACCGCCAAGGGTCCATCTGGAGCACCTTTAGTCTATTGCGTTGCGATTTCACTGATCCGACGGGTTTAACACACCAATGGTTGATAACCCTGTCGCTGATCACGACTCGTCATTCAGTTGGTAGTCAAGTACTACCGCAGTCACAATTGTGTGACGAGGACACTTGCCACCGTTAATGAAAGTACGGGTTGGCTTCTCTATTGGCCAGGGGCGGCGCCACGGATTTTGAGTTGGGGGAAGTTGAGTTGGGTTATGGAAAAGAAAGCCCCTCTCTGCATCAGGAAACCCTTCTCTGGAGTGAAAAATCGTCCGGTGCTCTTGGTCTCTGGCCGGAAATGGAAGCTCGCCTTGTCTCGGACCCCAATTCGGGTGCAAGATGCTCTCCGACAAGTGAGGTACCAGCCCCACGGGTCAGGATCCTTATTCTTCTTATTGTGACCTACAGCCAGTCCTTCGGACCCTTCCGTTCAACCTTCCAATCGGGCGCCTGAGCATCGGTCCTCAGAAGCCCTTCGGGTCCCTCTCCAGCCCCTTCCAACAATGTCCCTGGACGACTCGTGGGCCTTTATCAGCACAGGAGAACCTGTTAGGCACTGTGGCCCTTGGCCAACGGTGGGCCTGACCGGCACGGGCGGAGGGGGGCGGGAGGGGGGGGGGGGGGCTCCTTGGCTCAGGGGCCCCGACCTTGTCATGCTTGGGAAATGGGCCCCCAGGCCCAGACCGATACGGAGCCAACTGTTGGGTTCTGGTGGTGCCTGACGGACATCGAGACCCTCATTAGCCCTGGGGCCCTAATCGGCGCAAAGGGTCTTCAAACAGGCACTTCAGGGTCGGGCCCTACTAGCCGAGGTCCTTAATTCAGCTTACAGTCAGCTCTTCGTGCCTTTAATCGTCGGACCTGGTGGCCACCTCAGGACCTAAGCCGGTTGGGGGGGGGGGGGGGGCGGGCGGGGTCAGGTGCATCGTCTGATCCCCCGCCCACAGCACGGGGTTATTGTGCATTCAAAGGGAGCATTCCATCCTTTTTGTGCTTTGTATTTATTGTTAGATCAGAAGCTTACGATTTGATCAGTAACACCAGTTTTCTGGAAATCCTTCTGAATAGGGCTCATATTTGGATTTGAAGTAAACACTCTGGTGTATGAACCTCTATTTCGACAAAAAAATAATGCGAACCTGAAGATTTTACCATGCAAATCAACGAAACTTAAGATTATGGCTTTGATTCCTTCCCTTGGTGTTAAACATAGAAGGGTCTTTTTAGGGCGCACATTAACTTCGGGAATGGGTGTACCATATGGTCCATAGTGAGGCGCTGGTCCAAACTGCCACCGGTGCGCTTTTCGATAACAGGCCCTTGCCGCCCTCTGGGCCAGTCTCAAACTTTTTTATTATCCGCACTAGTAGAGGTGCGCAAGTCGGTTGTCTTGTCGATGGTGGCCGCGACTGCGTGGAAGACGTGCAGTGCCGTTGCAAAGTGTTGACAGTATGATTTAGACTCGAATATTATTAGAATCAGTGTTCTTACGTCATGAAGGTGCTGCAGTGGCATTAAACAATGCTTCTAATAGACTAACGGGTCGTTAGGTTTTCCTAGAATATTTTTCTTTCTTTTAATCTGCCCAAAAGTGCGGTACTCCGTTTAACTTCAGGTAAATTGGTACGTTCTTCGGCGTGAAGTAAAAGTCGAACCTGACGTCACCCGACCAGCAATACTACGCGTAGCGCCAGGGACGCGGAAGCCGGGCATTTCAGCAACTGTCGCTTGTTTTCGAAAATTGGGCCGCAATAGGATCTCATCCTTTTTATTTAGGGATACAACAGGGCAAGGGGTAAACAGTGCAATTAAGTTTGCGCAGCTAAGGCCAGAAGACCGGCAAATGTCTGAGAGGTTTGACCGAAAAGCTCCGAAGTACAGCAATGACCGCAACCCGTCATGACTAGCCTTGTCTCCGTCCCCCACAACCAAAAATGCGTGCCGCTGCCGATGGTCCCCATAAAAGCGCGCCTTCGGCGCCCTAAGCTGGCTTTTAGAGGACCGACTTTACCTTCATATCAGAAGGGGCACGTACCTCCAGTGCTTCCCTTCCCCTCCAGGTACGTCCCTGTAGGCTGTTATGAGGCCTGAACTAAAGTCTGTTTTTCAAGTGATGCAAAACATTGCAACACAAATTGCCCTTCTCCAAAACAAAGACGCAAAATTCTGTACATGGGAACCAAATAAACCTTTGAAGGAGCACTTGCCTAACAATAACAAAAAAAAAAACATTCGACAACCTGATAGCGCAGTACGGTTTGGAAACTCAAGCAAAGATGATTGCAAAAACTTAAACTTGAATCCTAGATGTAATAATATATCACCGTGTTCCATCTTACATGGCTGCAGAATGAGACTTATGCCATTATTTGGCTGGTAGCCATACCTCTTAGCAGCAGCCAAATATAGTGTCCTGGTCTTTTGGCGTCAAGTTGAAGCCTATGAGAGATAATGCTGTTGACTTCAATGGGGAGTCGTATCGCAAGTGAGATACCTGTAACGCTACAAAAAAAGTTCGACCCGTTCCAGCGTCACAAGACTCGTGTAATTGTAATCTTTGAGATGACACATGGAACTAAGACACGCCTACTCCAGTAAGGCACTTCAGGGCATAGCTAAACTCTCTTTTCCATAAAAATATGCCTCAGCAAATTTCTGAAATCACCAAGAAAGTCGCTTGCCTCTCTTCATGAACTCATCTGCAGGCCTTTCTGCGTTAGGCGGCTTTTTTGGGCAATAGCCCAGACACATTTCTTTGATCGCCGCTCGTGGCTCTTCAGACAAGAGCCGTGGAGTGACTAACCGCGACGAGGCATGCAGTCAGACAAGAGCCATGGGGAGATGGGGAGCGACTACCGCGACGAGGCATGCAGTCAGACAATAGTTGTGGGATATGTGGAGTGACTAACCGCGACGAGGCATGCAGTCAGACAAAAGCTGCAGAGAGATGTGGAGCGACTAACCACGACGAGGCATGCAGTCAGACAAGAGCCGTAGAAAAGTGTAGAGCGCGGCACCCGAACTGAGGGTAACGTGTGATCTGTTTCCAGCGGACCAGGTCTGTGACCCGTCTCCAGCAGAGGTCGTCATTTGTGACCCGTTTCCAGCAGACCTGGTCCGTGACCTGTCTCCAGCAGAGGTCGTCATGCGTGACCCGTTTCCAGCAGACCTGGCCTGTGACCTGTCTCCAGCAGGCCGTGATGAGTGGCCCGACCTTGACAGGTTGTCAAGCTGTAACCCGTGACGTGCCTTCACTGTCCACGGACACAAGCCAATATGATGAAGATATAGTTCGAAAACATACCCCCTTTTCACTCATCAACACATATTTTCTCAATGTTCCAATACCTTCACATATTTGTTATAGAAGTGCATCGAAATGTACGGTTATAAGAAATGTGGTTGCTCTTTAAAGCTTGCAATGCATGCTTATGAAATATAGCATGAGCTTTTATTTGCGGAATATGTGTAAAATGATGTGTAGAAGGCATGAATTAAAAGGAAAGATAACGACCGGTGAGATGCTTATTAAACCAGCTATAAACAGAATAGTTGTGATCCGAAGTAATGCCGAGAGATAAACCAACCAGAGTTAATCCAAGAAGCCGAGCGCAGTCAAATTACACTCATGTTTAGAACATGCTGTGTATTAACATTCATGCGTATCAATGGGAATGAGTTCCTGCTGCTGCCCAGTGCTGGAGCGTATGATCACAGCCAGACCAATGTCAGGCGGCGTTCGTTTTCTGCCTTGCATCTCCTGCAGTAGATTTGTTGCCGTTGGCACTGCCATTGCTACAGCAATCCATGCACATTTTATGCGATTTACGGTAGTAGCTTGACCTATTTTGTCAGCCATGTAGCTCTGAATAAAGCTCAAGAGACGCGAGAACAACGGCAATTTGGTCACTTCCATTGCTGGCCATAGCATGCAATTAATAACAATGCTTTAAAGTCACGTCGTCCAATCGACGTGAAATGTGTCTATAAAGCTGCAGCATTTCCTCGTGTCGTGTCGTTTCTCACCGCGACTTCTCCCCCTCCCCCTCCCCCCCCGTATCGGAGAGGGGGAGCGTGGAGGAGGGGGCTGTGACCGATGCCTATGACCTTTTCTGGCGCTCCGCCGTTGACGGGCCGTCACGTGGCGCACTCCTTCCGAGAGGTCCTGCCCGTCACGTTCGACGCGGCAGCCCGGTCGGCCGTCTGTCGGCGGCTATAAAGACGGACTGATGCGAACCGGCGCCCTCAGCTGCGCCGCCCGGACCTGGCACGCGCTCGCACCTGGCCACCCGTCTCGACAGAAGCTCAGGTGGGCTCCAGTCATTCGTTTCGGGACAAAAGCTCAGGGGTGGGGGGGGGGGGGGGGTGGAACTCCG